CTACTCTCTCTTATTCTGCAGATGATGTCTCGAGCCTCCGAAAGGACAAGAAAGATCTTTGTAGTTTTATCGAAAATTGCAGGTCGTGACGTCGTGGATGCGTCTACTAATGTTTCGTCGACTGTCCGGTTGATAACTGGCTCTTTTATTCTTANGCCGTTTTAACTGTACTTGAGACCTTAGAACTTATATCTCAATGTGGGTGACGCATTTACGTTGTGGATGTCTATGGGCTCCAGTAACTACTTGACACCAGGTGGGCTGTGAGCTCGTCCACCCATCTAAGCAATAAAAAAAAAGAAATATGTTGTAAAGAAAGGCGTAGGTTGTTCGATCCCGCATGTGTCGATGCGCGCGTCCAAGGTCAGCAGCAAGCTGTAGCGATGCGACAGCGGACGCGGTCGCTGTACACGTATTCCTCCCGAGTGTAGCGGAGCTCGGAGCGCTCAGGCAGTTCATCAACAGAAAACTCTCATTATCTTAAAAATAAAAAGGGAATTTCAAGGAAACTGTAAACGCTCCTATTTGTACAAGTTATGCTTCGACGAGAAACTCTACTCTCTCTTATTCTGCAGATGATGTCTCGAGCCTCCGAAAGGACAAGAAAGATCTTTGTAGTTTTATCGAAAATTGCAGGTCGTGACGTCGTGGATGCGTCTACTAATGTTTCGTCGACTGTCCGGTTGATAACTGGCTCTTTTATTCTTAAGTTTTCATTAATCACATGTAGTTATCCAAAACAGACATAATATGACCAGACACGCATGGTAACACCCGTGACGTCACACCCGGTGATGCTACACACGGTCAGACACTCGACGATCACTTCACCGAGAGCTCGTCTGACTGACAAAAGAACAATCGCAGATTCATACAAACAAGATTTAAGTAAAGCACTCAATTAAATTATGATCAATTAATTATACAAGTTAGTTGGATAAGTTTGAGAAGCGTCGAATACAATAGGCGGCGGCTCTCAAACTTTAACCGAAGGGACAACGCGTCAAACAAATTAATTTTCATTCACCCTCCCGGGGGATGCGCAGCCGTCGCGAACACTAGTGATGACCACTGGGATTCACTCAAATAAAACAGGTTTCCTATTTAGTTATTGCAAAAATCCAAAGACTCATTTGACCTTTGTCGGAATTACAATCTAATTAAAAATCTTGATACATCGACAAAAAGGCGGGTGTTTTTTTTTTGATTGCTTGGCTTGGTGGACTAGCTCACAGCCCACCTGGTGCTAAGTGGTTACTGGAGCCCATAGACATCTACAATGTAAATGCGCCACCCACCTTGAGATATAAGTTCTAAGGTCTCAAGTATAATTACAACGGCTGCCCCACCCTTCAAACCGAAACGCATTACTGCTTCACGGCAGAAATAGGCGGGGCGGTGGTACCTACCCGTGCGGACTCACAAGAGGTCCTACTACCAGTAAAATGAGTGTCTACGGGTACTTGTGTGCACACAATGGCATCACATACAACAGCACAGTATTCCGAGTGTCAACGGACGCGACGTCCACGCTCGGTCTACTACAAGTGTTGTTAGCAGGATACAGCCAGGAGCACGGCGGCTCCGGTCCCGTGGAGCTTCTGCTGCTAATTCGTTGTATGGCGTCCACATCGGTCGATCTTCGGTTTAGCTTCATACTGCACTTACTCTGTTCGCATTATACCAATAGCAGGCGCATACCGGCATCCTGCCTGTTTTTGCCATGTTGTAATCCGAAGAGCCAGATACCCGCTAGTACTATTACCAATGTAGCCTTGCATTTCGAAATGGATAGCGCTGCTTGTGGGCTTTGTTAACCAGGTAACACCGGGTAACACCAGGTAACACCCGGTGGATGATGAAGTCAAAAATTAACAAAAAATCTATTGAAATCTTACTGGTGGTAGGACCTCTTGTGAGTCCACGCGGGTAGGTACCACCGCCCCGCCTATTTCTGCCGTGAAGCAGTAATACGTTTCGGTTTGAAGGGTGGGGCAGCCGTTTTAACTGTACTTGAGACCTTAGAACTTATATCTCAAGGTGGGTGGCACATTTACGTTGTAGATGTCTATGGGCTCCAATAACCACTTAACACCAGGTCGGCTGTGAGCTCGTCCACCCATCTAAGAAATAAAAAATATAAAAAATTACTAACAAATTCTGCGCCTTTTTTTGTCTTGATGTATACTCGTAGATATCATTGAACAACTTGAATATTTCTTGAGAAATACTTACTGTAGAACTAATTACTGTAACTGATTCATGAATAATCAAATAAACNTGGGCTCCAGTAACCACTTAACACCAGGTCGGCTGTGAGCTCGTCCACCCATCTAAGAAATAAAAAATATAAAAAATTACTAACAAATTCTGCGCCTTTTTTTGTCTTGATGTATACTCGTAGATATCATTGAACAACTTGAATATTTCTTGAGAAATACTTACTGTAGAACTAATTACTGTAACTGATTCATGAATAATCAAATAAACTAATAAAATGTTGCTTTTAATTATTATTAATCACTCTGTGCAATTGCTTTAGGTGTTTTATATTTTAAACGATTTTAGAATACGCTTATTTCATCGTACAGGTAGAACTATTGATGTCTATATATTAATAGATGAAGCAAAAACTTTGTAGCCCTTTTTACGAAAATTGCGCCGACGGAGGAGTATGAAACTTCCCACACGTAAAGAGAATATAGAGAAGGAGTGCAGAATGCTAATATTTTTTTTAAATTAAGCATAAAAAAATACATTAAATTAATAAAAAAAACATTACACACGCTACCATGTATTTGATGCACACACGCATGCATACTATTTATTTATTGTCAAACTTTTGTTCTTGACGTCTGTGGTCAAATTGAGAATAGATTAAATATTGTCTCTTTTTACTAACCTCTTTTTACTACCACTTGTACAAGTGTTGACTGGACCACCTGCATGGACCTTCCCCCCGGTCTATTTTGCCGCGAAGATCTCAAGCGCGTTGTTCTACTGATCAATGTCATTACAGCGCAACAATTTCTTTGACTTCACGACCGTGTGTAAAGAACTATTTCCCCGGCTATTTTCACACGACTGTTAGTGCAGTTAGTTTCATGGGTCAACATACAACAACTACCTCGCAAATGGTATCGTTCGACCACGATGGGGCCCCTCGTGGTTCCCTCGCAACGCTAAAGAGCTCGCTTATCTGTGCCTTTTTTATTTTTATTGCTTAGATGGGTGGACGAGCTCACAGCCCACCTGATGTTAAGTGGTTACAGGAGCCCATAGACATCTACAACGTAAACGCGCCACCCACCTTGAGATATAAGTTCTAAGGTCTCAAGTATAGTTAGAACGGCAGCCCTACCCTTCAAACCGAAACGCATTACTGCTTCACGGCAGAAATGGGCAGGGTGGTGGTACCTACCCGTGCAGACTCACAAGAGGTTCTACCACCAGTGCCTTTGGAACACGCCCCTACACCTAAATACCGATTTAACTCGAACCATTACTTAATTTTATTTGACCCTCAGATTAAATATCTCTGTGTGCCCTGTAAGTCAGCGTTGATTAATTAACCTGATGAGGGTTCTCTCGTCATGCTTTTGTGACTTGGACTACCAACTAGGTACTATAATAATTGTCAAACACTTGCATATAGTCTCCAAGAAAAATGACAACGACATGCAAACAGACGGATAGGATAAAACATTTGATTTCACTGTATCTATTCATGTATTTCAGTGTACTAGAGGTCCCGCAGTAGTCGAAATTCGACTAAATTAATTGGAATTGTAAGTTTGTACACTATTATGATTGTGTTTTATACTTCTATAATCACAAATATCCCCAAGGCTACACTATAAAAAAATATTAATAAAGCCAAACAATATTTAATCTATTCTCAATGTGACCGAGGACGTCAAGAACAAAAGTTTGACAATAAATAGTATGCATGCGTGTGTGCGTCAAATACATGGTATGTAGTGTGTGTAATGTTTTCTTTATTGATTTAATGTATCTTTTATGCATTATTTTAAAAAAATATTAGCATTGTGCACTTCTTCTCTATATTCTCTATAAATGTGGAAAATTTCATACTCCTCCGTCCGCGCAATTTTCGTAAAAAGGAATACAACGTTTTTGCTTCACATATTAATATATAGATAAATATCAAATGCTGTGATGAAGGACCAGCACGCATACATTATGTCCGTAAAGGTGAAAATATAACAGTCATGTATAATTTTGTGAGTGTACAGTTTGTCCACACAACAACTCTGTTGTGATAATGATAACAACTCCAACATTAAATAATTGTTTATTGATATGCTTACCCTGATTGGTAACTGTTTATATGATAAAAATGACATTACGCGAGTACGCGACGCCTTGCTGATGGCGGTACACGAACTGACTGAAAAATGAATGACTTTGATGTAAAATGCATCCGTATGCAATATGATGTGCGCGCTAGCCTGTACAGTGAGGCTTTTTATATGTTGGTCTATTTGTTTGCACACATTCCGCCATTGCTGTATCAACTTTACTGTGGTATTCAATATTCTTTAATATTGACATACGGCTGGGCTAACATTGGTATCATTCGAATCCACACTAATATTATAAAGCTGAAGAGTTTGTTTGTTTGAACGCGCTAATCTCGGGAACTACTGGTCCGATTTGAAAAATTCTTTTAGTGTCAGATAGCTCATGTATTGAGGAAGGCTATTTACAACATCACGTTAAGACCAATACGAGCGGAACCTCCTGTTTTGAAGTCGGCTAAAAAGCATGATTTTGGTACCTTAAATAGCTCCTTAACATTATATTATTAAAAAATATACTTACTTCTACGTAAATCCCACACGGACTATTCCACGCGGACGAAGTCGCGGGCAAAAGCTAGTCGATTGATATATAAAAAGCATACGTCTATTTTAATCTGTTTCGTTCGCGACCTTCGAGTTTTTATTGTGTTGCGTGAAGTCGGTCGTTTCGTTGTGGCCAGCGCTGCGCTCACTGCGGTCACTACGCGCTGCACTCACTCGCCATGATCATTGTTTATGCCGTATACGTGTTGGCTGTGTATACGGTGCGTGGAAACGGTAAGGATTCTTTGAAAATTATGCAGTTTGACACAAACAGAACTCAGGCTCAGCTCTGTGTGTTTCGTGTTTTGAACAAAATTTGTTCCCGTTATTGTTTGCCAATTAAGGTAAACTGTCCTATACCGGTTACCGTTGTCACTCGTGAATACTTCAAATTCAAGATCACGGGTAAGGGCCTTTTTTTTTTCGTGGGCCGATCCTCCTACGAGGTCCCCGCGCCTAGGGGCCGCGCGGGGTATGTGTGACTCAACGGTCTGCAAGGTGTTGGAAGCAGACCGCGGACCAAAGGAATTTTAGGGCCCACCCACTATGATACACCGCCAACCGGTTTCTCTATTATAGACACTCCTTGGCAGCGCGCTAGAGTGCTGGTAGGGCGCCGCGCGGCCTCTACCCTCTCAGATCGCCCCTTGACCTTCACCGGGGGAAGTTCGCCTCTTGCAGGGGCCGGAGTCGGTTAAAAGCACGGGTAAGGGGCTGCCCACAGCTAGGAGTACTTTGAGAGCTTGTTTAAAGACCTGCGTCATTTCTTTTTTTTTTATTGCTTAGGTGGGTGGACGAGCTCACAGCCCACCTGGTGTTAAGTGGTTACTGGAGCCTATATACATCTACAACGTAAATGCGCCACCCATCTTGAGATAAGTTCTAAGGTCTCAGTATAGTTACAACGGCTGCCCCACCCTTCAAGCCGAAACGCATTACTGCTTCACGGCAGAAATAGGCAGGCTGGTGGTACCTACCCATGCGGACTCAGAAGAGGTCCTACCACCAGTAAAAATCTATGCACTAGCTAGTGAGGTTCCACGTTGGACGAGTTCCACATGCGATGCTCCATGGTAACTATCGTTAAACAAGTGCCACGCGCGTGTCTTACTGTACCTATAGCGACAAATTGTAAATTAACGTATGAGTGGTGTCCGCGCGGGATGTTTGGAGATACGGAAACCTTTCATTACAATTTGTACTTTTACTTTTTAATATAAATTCTCATTTCATCGAAGAGTGTTTAGTCGGCGGCACTGCTGTATGCTGCTTATGCGTGAATGGCGGATTGAGATTTCCTTCTACCTATAGAATTGTATTTTGTGTTTCTAGTAATTAGGAATATGGGCCTGACACCAATTATTTTGTCATCGGTGGCGGCTTGAGCATGTGGGTCACGTGAAGTGAGGCACGTCGACGCTGCCAGTGTCATCGATCAGGGGGAGGACCGTGTCGATGCATGCCGTTAAATACTATATAGTGTTGAACGAGTACCTCAGCAGGAAGTTCGTTAAAGCTTATTTTTTAACCGACTTCAAAAAAGGAGGAGGTTCTCAATTCGACTGTATGTTTTTTTTTATGTTTGTTACCTCAGAACTTTTGACTGGGTGAATCGATTTTGATGATTCTTTATGTAGCTGAATACAGAGTTGTGTATAGATGAGATATACTCATAATATAACAATCACGTTCGTGTTCAGAATCGAACTCATCTCGAGTGCTAGGGGAGAGTCTCCGGCGACAGCTGATGGACGACAACTATGACTACCAGCCTTCAGAGACGGAGGAACTACTGCATCCGCAGGATATAACCAGACGTCAAGGTCATCCACTAGAATATGTGTAGCAGTGAAGTCGTCGTGCCCTAAAGGATAAGACGTCCGGTGCATTCATGTCGATCGATGCACCGGTGTTCGAATCCCGCAAGCGAGTGCCAATTTTTCTAATAAAATACGTACTTAACAAATGTTCACGGTTGACTTCCACGGTGACAAAACAGCATCGTGTAATAAAAATCAAACCCGCAAAATTATAATTTGCGTAATTACTGATGGTGGGACCTCTTGTGAGTCCGCACGAGTAGGTACCACCACTCTGCCTATTTCTGCCGTGAAGCAGTAATGTGTTTCGGTTTGAAGGGTGGGGCAGCCGTTGTAACTATACTGAGACCTTAGAACTTATATCTCAAGGTGGGTGGCGCACTTACGTTGTGGATGTCTATGGGCTCCAGTAACCACTTAACACCAGGTGGACTGTGAGCTCGTCCACCCATCTAAGCAATAAAAAAAAACAAAAAAACAAAAACAAAATAGTAGCGTCTGAACTCCACAGGCGTCGCTCTCAACAAACAAGATACGGATTTAGACTCCATCAACATATTCGTACCGGAAACAATAAATAACCAATACATTATCACCGAGGACAAGGACACAGGACAGGACATGCTTCACCACCTGGACGACAGACCGACGGACATCATGACCAGCGACCAGCGCGACTACGTGGAACTCCATGATGATGGTACTAAGCCCACGCAGCAAGCTAAATACAAAATATTAAAGGTAACCCGCTCACGACAGTTTGTGCTTCTTAAGATCAAGATTCTAAATCTGTAGTGGCTACTTTATTTAACTAGATTACNATTTCCCCCCCACATCGTTGGGGTGCCCCCTTATGGGGACCCATTTCCCACCCCCGTTGGGTGGACCACTCCCCCTTATGGGGAGTGATTATATCGGTCCCTCCCCGCGACGGTCTTCCCCTTCTGGGGAGCCCTTAGCGGGTGAGCGCCAAACTAGTGTCGCCGCCCCTCCTCTAGTTTGTAGAGGTGGGGCCGCGGCATAGGGCCGGTGGCGGGCCCCACGGTTGCTGACCTTCGCCACGGGCATCGAGCCGTCATCAGACCAGCCCATCGTATTATGTTTATTTATATATCATTTTGTCGATGCTATGCAGCCGTGCACGCTGCGAACAGCGTACCTTCCCCAAAGTCCCCCCTGCATCTACGTCACCCCTGCCCTATGTGGTAGGGAGTCTCAGCCCGGGTAGTGGGGTTTGCCCCGAGGCCCGTTCCATGCCCCCGTGAGGGGGTATGACGACCCTTCTTCTTCTTCATAATGCCGTAATTTATTATTATAACTTAAAAAAAAAAATACAATTCCTTCACTAATGAATCGAAAGGAACTTCGTTCCATCCGGGTGTCCCTTGACACCTCTGAAGTTTTTATTTTATTTCTTTTAATAAAAGAAGACTTATTGCGGCATAACTATAATAGTTAGACATATGCAGTTGCGACACTTTTTGTAAATAATGAGTTCTACAAAGTCGTAGTACATTATTATTTTCTATCATCAATAGTTTTCGCAGGGCACGCGATGTAAAGAATGTTTTAGGTAATTTTTTTACACCTTGGGTTACATTATTGGAGGTTTAGTAAGGATCCCTAATTTTTTTCAAAAAAGAGGATAGCCTAAGTCACTCGGAAATAGTGTAGCTTCCAAACAGTAAAAGAATTTTTCAAATCGGTTCAGTACTTTCGGAGCCTATTCAATACAAACAAACAAACAAGTCTTTCCTCTTTATAATATTATATATTATATAATAAGTATAGATAAAGGCTTTAACAAAAAAAAAAAGTATCTGTGCAGGTAAAAAACCCCAGTCGTCGGAGTATGGGCTCCAGACGGTTCATACAGGAAGAAAAAGAAGACGGAGTGGCCATCATCAGCCTCGACGACGGAACCTTCCCGGAGTTCAGGCTGCCGAAGGACAGGCGCCAGTACATGCAGGACGGAGATGATTTGGATGACTTAGGGCTGGACCTAGACTCCGCCGGTCCTGACTTCGTCCAAAACAAAACAAAACATTCGAATGACGACTACTTGTCGGATCTTATTCCTACATTTAATGTTAGCGATGAACTAAACAGAGTTTAACATCGTGCTGCGAGTAAATGTTATGTGTTTTTTGAATATTTTTCATTTAAAATATCCGTCCGTTCCTGTTATAAAGCATATATACCATTCACATAACGATATCAAATTTCAATCAACAATAAAACTAGTAACAAGTTGCGCGCGCACCCACCGCGGGGAGAGAATGTAATGGCACGAATAATATTTGCATTATTCACTACATTTAATCTAATACTGTTATGTTATGAGGCAGTGGAGATACCAAGTAAGTATTTCAAGAAACATTTTTCTACAATAATTCATTATTTATTTTATTTTTATTTATTTATTTATGTACACACAGAAAACAAGACATAGTACAGAGTAATAGGAAAAATATGTACAAAGGCACTGCTTATTTCTTTAAGAAATCTCTTCCAGCAGACCTGCGAGAGGATAATGAGAATAATAATAAAAAGTGATGAGTGTGTGTAGAACAAATAACACATAACTAAAATAACAAATACAACATGAGAATTATAGTAATGCACATACACATAGCAAATATTTAAAGTAACACAGTAACACTCGTATATACGAAGAGTATAGAACCATTATCATTCGGTTCATCATTATCGTGAGAAACACTAATAAAATGACGTATTTTTAAGGAGCGATATAAAAAACCTTAGCGCAGACTTCGTATCCGCGTAATGTAACAAACCACCTTATCTCATTGATATGTACACATTATGTGAACAAGCTGCAGTGGCTTCACGAGGACTTGTGGTGGCGACCGCAGCGTTAGGTCCGCGCTAACGTGAACTGACTTACAGATACATTCATTCGCAGGCAATAACCAGACCAGCATATTTGTGGACAAATTGAAGAATATATTGAGACGAAATAATGATGACTACATAGACATTCGTACGAGTAAAACTAATATACTTACTACAAAAGTAAATACAACAGCAGCCGTAACAAGAGTGACGACGGGCAAGGACGTTTTAAACAACAGCAGCATCCGGCGAGCATCGACCACGCCAAACATCCGCAGGAGAGCTCTCAGTCAAGTTAAGAGTGTAAAAGAGAAAGAGAACGATTTAACAAAACAAGACAACACTAAAGTGAACACAGAACACAAAAGCATACTGAAACCAAACAATTTATTGAATCAAGCGAATGATATTAAAGACAAGTATCCCAAGTACGTGAACAAAATATCTAAAGTTAAATCGTTTTTTAACAAGAATAAAGATCTGTTCAAAAAGTTCATAAGTAACAGGAGCTCGAAGCCACAGATACCTGTGCTGAAACTTGGAAACGGAACCACTCCGACCGGGGACACGTTGGCTACGAGCGGACGAGGGCCCCTGGGACGAGTGCGGATTTCGAAATCCTCAGATGATGAATCAAAGACGACATCCCTAGAGGCCAACGAGAATAGCTTGCCGAACTCCGAGCAGCTGGACATGGCGCCCGCCAGGGGAGGATACATACATGCTCAGAGACTTAAGGTTAACTATATTACTCAACCATTCTAGGGTATGTACACGAGAGATTCATCCAGTTACCCGTCGACCCAAGACTGGCTAGGAGGTAGGGTGTATAGTAACCACCGCCCTGCCTATTTATACCGGGAAACATTCTGCCGCTCCGGTTTGAAGTGTGGGGCAGCTGTGATACAACAGAATTGAGAGTTAGACCTCACGTCATAAGGTTAGCGGCAGTTACGCTATGGTGTCTGTGATCAAATAGAAATGACTGGTACTTGAGACTTCAGGCCCAGTGCGGGACACAACGAAGTCGGATCCGTGTCTTGCACAGTGGCCCGGCCGGCATACTGCGTCAGTCGATACAAATGCACCGGGCGTGTTATACTTTAGACCACGACGGCTTCGAAACAAGGTTTTATGCAGAGGCGGATTATCTGTAAGGCGAACTAGGCACGTGCCTAGGGGCGTGTTGTTACAAGGAGCGCGCGAGCTCAGAATTTTTAAATAAATAAAGAAAATAACATATCGACGATTAAGAACTAAATACTGATCTATAATCTAAATCTATAATAGATTATTCCTATTTAGCCTATTTCATGAATCATGAATTTCGATGTTCGTTCTGTCGTCCCTCTTGATTTCTTCACAGTTATAACGTCATATTTCATTCTCGCGTTAGCGTAAGTACAAGGGCCCTGGTCTACTAAAGTCTAGGGTTTGATGATATAACTTCATCGTAATTGCAAAAACGACCAGTTAAAATTCATAGTATTATGATGGCCATTTATGGCCGGTACAGGGGCGCCGATAAAGTGATTGCTTAGGGTGCTCTGGACCTTTAATCCGCCACTGGTTTTATGGATTTATTTTTCATTCCCAAGGATCGTCTGTGCCAACGCAACGTGATGATACCGGAGGGTCCTAAGTACGACAGCAAGGGCAGGGCGTACCTCGCCGCCTACACTGCGGTACGAGGACACGATTTCATTCAGACCAAGCCTCCCAAAGCATTTCTTCCACGATGCTGTAATTGTTGCAAGAAATCTGTTCTTGGTTGTGAATAAATTCTATTGTAAATGTTTCATATTTTTATTACTTACATCTATATCTACACTAATATATAAATCTTCAGTGGTTTTTACGGATGTTCCGTTATAACTACTGAACCATGCATCCGATTAACTTGAAACTTGGTATCCATATAGAAAATACATAGACTTAATGGATAAGCCAATATTTATATGAATATTGGACTCCCTACACCAGTTTCAGGGGCGTTAATGATGAGAATTTTTGTGGGGGTGAGAGATAATAATGTTAATTTTAAATGCCCAACGAAGCGGGTGGGTACAGCTAGTACTTTTATATTATTACTCACATATTATAATTATAGCTTTCTTATTGTCTTAGACCTGACACAGATAAAACTAGTTTACCGAGTATTTCATAATGAACTGCGGGATCCTTGCCACACTTCGTACTCATTGTCATAGCTTTATGTTTGTTGGTTAAAATATACTACAGCAGAATTCGCTCAATGATCGAATTTCAACCACCTACACCTAAACATTTATTGTATAAGTGTTCACCAAATATGTATGGTAAACAGTAAGATTGTTAAGCCTATAAATGTCGCCTACAGAAAATAAATAACACTTTTCGTGACCAAGGCAAATTTTATTACAAAAACAGGTCTATCTACTTTGGGTATGAACTTTAACATTTTTTTAATTAAAATTAATGCTATATTAAATGCCGAAAACACGTAAACTTCTTGAAAAGACAAGCGCTCTGTATGTTGTTGTTGCTTGAAGTATCAACGTAGCTGTATTAAGGAATGTTTTCACTAAGTAGGGAACTAAGTAAGACCAATCAATTTACGACCGTCTGGTGTAGTGGTAAGTGACATGGTCACTACACAAGGGGGTCGCGGGTTCGAATCCCGCCAAGGAAAGATATTTGTATGATAAATATAAATGTCTTTTCCAGGGTTATGGATGTATATTTCCGTTATCTGGTACCTGTAACACAAGTTTTTTACGAACTTATCAAGGGACCAGTTAACGTGGCGTGATTGTTAGTAAATATTTATTTATTTATTATTTATTTAATAGTTTACAACAACAACAACACACAGGCACAGATTATATCAAGAAGGAAGGAAGAACGTTTTGGACTCGCGCTTTGGTAGAAGTACTTCCGATGAAATCTGAAGCTGTCTTAGTCTGAATAGTCTGAACGTAATCATTGTCTGAATAGTTACAGTGATGAAACAAAATCAAAAGGTATGTGTATCCTAAATGAAGTATTTCTGAAAAAAAAAAATTTTTTAATATAAAACGTCTACAAATAATTCAAAATCTATGTAACGAATTAAAACACGCAAACTTACTGATTTTTTTTTCATGAGTTGACGCATCCTGCGATTGAAAAACTATTATTAGATTAAATAATGAGATCATTAAAATGCTATATCATTTATGCATCTAACTAGTCTGACCATAAATACTGTTACATAAAAACTTTTCTTTTTTTCAAATTTTTAATTATTTTGAATTTGGAACACGCATATTATTTTAAAAACTTCTTTCGATTTTGTGCCATTTCATATATTTTTTCGACTTCATTATCAAATTACAATATGGAATGGGTTGTTAAAGAAAATAGGATTGCAGTGATCGCCTTGTACAAAGCGGGTATGAAGCCGTCGGTCATATTCCAGACACTTCAAAAGCTTGGTATCAGCTTTATGTTCGTATATCGTACTATATGAACAGATACAACAACATTTCGTCTGTCGAAGACCAGAAAAGATCGAGGCGGCCGCGTGCTGTTAGAACTACAAAGGCTTTTAATGCTGTTAAAGCCAGAATTCGTCGAAACCCCATTAGAAAGCAAAAAATATTATCGCGAGAAATTAAAATTCCCGCTAGTGTCGTATATTATAAAACAAGACCTGAAGCTCGCTGCTTCGTCGATAATGAGATGCCCTAAATCAATCTCTACAATTAAAGAGATCGATGATCGATCAAAATGACTTCTGTCGCGATACGCAGGTGAAAGGCACAGAAGTATTCTCTTTATCGATGAAAAAATTTTCACGATTGAAGAACACTACAATAAGCAAAATGATAAAGTGTACGCTCACACAGTTCTAAAGCTGCTCAAGTTGTGGGAGAGGTACAACGTGGTCATCATTCTGCGTCAGTGATGGTTTAGCGGGGTGTGTCTTATCAAAGAGTGAAAACTTCAGCCAAAGTGTATCAAGATACAGTCTTGGATCATGTTGTGAAACCTCTCGGCAATACACTTTTTAAAAATATACCGTGGACAGTGGACTATCCAGCAGGATTCTGCACCTGGTCACAAGGCACGAACTACCCAAGCCTGGCTTGCAACCAACGTTCCGAATTTTATAAGAGCATAAGACTGGCCCTCATTTAGCCAAGACATCAAATGTTTAGCCTTCAAATTATGGTCAGTTTTAGAGGACATGGCCTGCTCTAAACGACAAGGCGACATTGAGTCTCTTAAAAAATATTTGTAGCAAGCAGTAGCGAAATTTCCCTTGGAAACTGCACGTAAATCCATAGATTCGTGGCCAAACAGATTAAAGGCCTGTATAAAATCCAAAGGTGATCATTTCGGATTGATTTTTTTTTGTTGTTCAGGCCAATTTTTAAGTAGGTATAAATTTTAATAATACTTCATTTTAAAAGAATGCATTTTCATTTGCAACAGAACTTATGTTTGGACTAGGTTTTTTTTAAAAAAAAAGCATTTTCTCGTTAGATTCTTTGATGTACGATGAGTACTCACAGCCCCGGGTACTCCTCGTTTATAACCGTCCAGTCTCTCCTGCCATTAGCCCCGGACCGACCTGCGACGTGTCTAGTTCCGCCTAAACTAGGCTGATCCTCGCCGTCCGCAGTGAACACAGGGAGAATTCTCGAATGTTCATTGTATGTGTTAAAGGACCCTAGCGTGCCCGACGTGAGGTCCGCGGCGGGGCGCATGTCACATGTCCAAGCCGACAGTTGTAAAGGCACTTGGGTATCAGTTGTAGTTAAAATGCTCTTACATTTGTACAACATTAGGTACGGGAGTGTGTTAGCGTGGACTGCCTGAAATACGAAAGTGATCATGTACAACTTGGGTTATCTATATATACTTAGGTATATAAAAATGAATTGCTGTTCGTTAGTCTCGCTAAAACTCGAGAACGGCTGTACCGATTTGGCTAATTTTGCTCTTGAATTATTTGTGGAAGTCCAGAGAAGGTTTAAAAGGTATATAAGTATGAAAATGCTGGGAATTAAATAAAAATAACAATTTTGTTTTTTCTTTGATGTGTCCCCTATTGAACGGATTCCTTTTGTTTGCTTTAAGTTTATTTTATACAAAAGTTTAGATCTTTTATTTATCGATTAAGGCACTACGAAGTCTGCCGAGTCAGCTAGTCCGAATTACCTAAATATTAATTTGACACTTGTAATATCTTTCAACACTGTGTATCTGTAAATTAGTTCCCATCAACTCGCGACTGAAATTCGCATGTTTTAAAGGAAACAGAATACATAATATTGTTACATAATCAATTTGTCATCCTGTATTTTTTAAGTTTCTAGCAAACAATACGTTACGGAAGCTGTAACCATTTTACACACCTAGATACATAATAATATGTACTAGAGGTCCTGCAGTAGTCGAAATTCAACTATAATTAATTGGAATTGTAAGTTTGTACACTATTATGATTGTATTTTATACTTCTATAATCACAAATTTCGCCAAGGCTACTCTATAAAAAAATATTAATAAAGACAAACAATATTTAATCTATTCTCAACTTGACAACAGACGTCAAGAACAAAAGTTTGACAATAAATACATGGAATGTAGTGTGTGTAATGTTTTCTTTATTGATTTAATGTATCTTTTATGCATTATTTTAAAAAAATATTAGCATTGTGCACTTCTTCTCTATATTCTCTATAAGTGTGGAAAATTTCATACTCCTCCGTCCGCGCAATTTTCGTAAAAAGGGATACAAAGTTTTTGCTTCACGTATTAACATATAGATTTTGTTCTGTAAATAACATAGTTACCATAAATAAAATTGACAAATACTGCACCATAGAAGAAAACATTATTTATGAAGAAACAGTTAAACAAAGCGCAACTACAAAAGTTCGTAAACAAACTAGCCTCGCAAAATCATTTTAAAAATGATTGAAAAAAGTGATTATTTTGCAGAAAATTGCAATTTACATGGGTCGATAACACAGTCGCAGTATTTTGTAATCAGTTAAAACATCCTCATGTATGTACTTAAAAACGACTTGCAGCCAGTCAATGTTTATGGAATAGTCCACTTGATTTCTTTTGCATTTAGAGCAATTTTAAATCTATACTAATATTATAAAGGTATGATACCTACGTCTCGTTTTTACCATCGCACCGCCCGCCACCGGATTAGAGTTCACCCATACTACCTGGAGCCACTGCGTTCACCCACAGTGCGTTTCCAGAGGTCTTTTTTGCCACGTACCATCCGGCTTTGGAATGCGGTGTTTCCCGAGCGCTATGACATGTCCTTCTTCAAACGAGGCTTGTGGAGAGTATTGAGCAGTAGGCAGCGGCTTGGCTCTGCTCCTGGCATTGCTGAAGTCCATGGGCGACGGTAACCACTTACCATCAGGTGGGCCGTACGCTCGTCTGCCTACAAAGGCAATAAAAAAAAGGTGAAGAGTTTGTTTGTTTGAACGCGCTAAGCTCAGGAACTACCGGTCCGATTTTAAAAATTCTTTCAGTGTTAGATAGCACATTTATTGAGGAAGGCTATATAACATCACGATAAGACCAATACAAGTGAAACACCAGTAAAGACTGTTTCAAAATAACGGTTTCAATAGCTCCTTAACATTCTGCAATTCAAAAATATTTTCACTTTTTACGTAAATAAAGTTGGGAGTAAAATTTAGCGTTATGCCAAAGTAACTATTCCACGCGGACGGAGTCGCGGGCTAAAGCTATCTTAAATATTTACAACACTCCGGTCAGTTATTGTTAATCAGAAAGTATGCGCCCCCCGCCCCCGCGCCCCGCCGCCCTCGCACCCCCCGCCCCCGCGCCCCGCCGCCCTTGCATCCCCCGCCCCGCTATTGACATGTGCGTACATACGTACAGCCGTCACACAATGCATTTGGGACTGCAACCTCACATCTCAGCTGAGTGGCGGCAAGCCCGTTCTGAGCTCTGTGGACTTCGACTGCTTAACGCCAGGTAGACCGTGAACCGATTTACCAACGTAAGGAATGAAAATACGTATGTGTACCTTCCATAAAAATATATAGAATCCTCCCCCCCCCCACTTCNGGGTAGGTACCACCGCCCCGCCTATTTCTGCCGTGAAGCAGCAATGCGTTTCGGTTTGAAGGGTGGGGCAGCCGTTGTGACTATACTGAGACCTTAGAACTATATCTCAAGGTGTGTGGCGCATTTACGTTGTAGATGTCTATGGGCTCCAGTAACCACTTAACACCAGGTGGGCTGTGAGCTCGTCCACACATCTAAGCAATAAAAAAATAATAAAAAAACATAAAAACGATTAGGAGAAAAGCGACAAGCACAAGCACAGTAGAATAGTTCACAGCAAACAGTAAGAAAAAGTCCAGGCAAAGAAGGAGACATAAACTATACACACTAAACATTCAATATAAACTTAGTCAATCGAGACAGGCGTGTGCGAGTAAATGTGACGTGAGCTTCGCGGTCAGAGGTCTGCGGACGACTGGCGCAGGAAGCTGCGACGGCGCACCTCGCGCCTTTCACACAAAGACTTGTGAACTACGCAATTATGTGTAAGTCACCACAAGGGTTTCAATAGCTCCTTAACATTCTGCAATTCAAAAATATTTTCACTTTCTATGTTAATGAAGTGGGGAGTAAAATTTAGCGTTATGCCAAAGTAACTATTCCACGCGGACGGAGTCGCGGGCAAAAGCTATCTTAAATGTTTACAACACTCCTAACTATTGTCCCCCTGTATCCTGTACCCTGGGTCACGCCCGGACGACACGAAGCCGCCGTGAGCAGGACATACTTCTATGTCAGCTAATTATTGTTGGTTCGAGAGCGCCCAACGAGATGCGTCGTACGTGCGACACACGTGTACACGTGCACACGTGCATACATGCACACGTGCACACTTGCATGCGGCAGGCACCTACTCACAACTTTTTTACTGGTGGTAGGACCTCTTGTGAGTCCGTGCGGGTAGGTACCACCACCCTGCCTATTTCTGCCATGAAGCAGTAATGCGTTTCGGTTTGAAGGGTGGGGCAGCCGTTGTAACTATACTTGAGACTTTAGAACTTATATCTCAAGGTGGGTGGCGCATTTACGTTCTATACTATGGGCTCCAGTAACCACTTGACATCAGGTGGGCTGTGAGCTCGTCCACCCGTCTAAGTAATAAAAAAAAACTGGACGCTACGCGTGTAATAAAACGAAATTGTTTCCACAATAGTTTTATTATCTAAGAGGTATATAATATTAAACTTAACGTTACAATAACATGTCACACACAGACACACATTCTCGAAAACCATTCAGTACACATTACAACGTCGTCCCGTGTGCGTGCGTGCGTGCGTGCGTGCGTGCGCGCCCGCACACCGCACACTTCACACAATCGCTCACTCCCTTATAGATATTTACATAACGAACGTGTACAAGTTATAATTCAACAAACGTAAATACATGTCGCAGCCGTGTGCCGGGTACATATATGTATATTGCTTCTGACTGAACTGTTAATCTAAAAAATTGACAAAGAGTAATGGTACGGTGTGACGTCACTAGTGCGCGCGCGGTCGGCCGGCGCGTGACGTCACTCCTGACACACCGTCGCTGCTCTGCTCGTTGCGTACATAATCCATATACAAAAATATATAATCAGCTCGGAGCGCGGCGGCTGCGATCTCACGCACTGTAATTCGTTACATTTAATTTAAAGATCTACTATTTACATGTAATAATAATAATAATCGACGTGTCGCATCGACGCGGCGCCCGCGGCTGCTCGTGTTCATTCAGCGACTTTAGAATGCAACAATAAACACGCGGGTACAAAAATAGTTTTATTTCAAAAGATAACCATACATTAGTTTACAGAGAGTCCGTCTGTGCGTCGCTCACTTGTGCAGGCCGGCGCGCTTGGCCTCCAGCTCGTAGATGAGCAGCCGCCACATCTTCACCACGAACACCTCAGCCTCCTCGTCCAGCACCTGAACCAACAACTCTCATTTATGGTAACCGACGTGTGGCATCATTCCGATATTCCTTTACTAATATCATATCAATGTCAAAACGCTGCCAGTAAAATAAGCTACAGCAGTGTAGTGTACAGTGCAGCACAGTATGTAGTGTACAGTGCAGTACATAATGTAGTGTACAGTGCAGTATAGTATGTAGTGTATAGTGCGGTATAGTGTGGAGTGTACAGTGCATTATAGTATGTAGTAGTGTACAGTGCAGTACAGAAAGTAGTGTACAGTGCAGTATAGTGTGGAGTGTACAGTGCAGTACAGAATGTAGTGTATAGTGCGGTATAGTGTGGAGTGTACAGTGCAGTATAGTATGTAGCAGTGTACAGTGCAGTATAGTGTGGAGTGTACAGTGCAGTACAGTGCGGTAGAGTACAATGCAGTTTGGTGTGGGGTGTACAGTGCAGTATAGTGTGGAGTGTACAGTGCAGTACAGTGCGGTAGAGTACAATTCAGTTTGGTGTGGAGTGTACAGCGCAGTACAGTGCGGTAGAGTACCATCTGCACGTCGTCGAGCACTCCCTGGGGCGCGGAGCCGGCGAGCACTTTGCTGCAGATGAAGTCGACGAGGGTGGGCTCCGGCTCGCCGATGTACTCTATGATCTTCTTGTTGATCCACGGACGTATCTTCTTCTCCATGAGCGTGTTATCGATCTGTGACAAGACAACAATTATTTAACCCAACCACTTCCAGCCCGACACAAGCCGCGCAATGTGAGGCTGGGCGTCGCGCGAGCTACGCTACCTGCGAGGCGTCCAGTTTGTACTGGAACAGTTGTTCCTTCTGCGTGGGGATCTTGTCGATGAGACTCTTGATGTGTTTCCGTTTCTCCTCGGAGCTCTTGTTCTCCTTGTCTCCGTCACTGTTCTTCTTCTTTTCTTTGTCCGCTTTTTCTTTGTCTTTTTTCTCTTCTGAAATTATAATTATTACAGTGACAGANGCGAGCTACGCTACCTGCGAGGCGTCCAGTTTGTACTGGAACAGTTGTTCCTTCTGCGTGGGGATCTTGTCGATGAGACTCTTGATGTGTTTCCGTTTCTCCTCGGAGCTCTTGTTCTCCTTGTCTCCGTCACTGTTCTTCTTCTTTTCTTTGTCCGCTTTTTCTTTGTCTTTTTTCTCTTCTGAAATTATAATTATTACAGTGACAGACGATCGTCCCCCGTAGAACTCATGAAGACAAAAGACTCCACGACGCACGATGGTGTATTGACACTATGTGGCCTCGTCAGAAGTGTTTACTTATACTATTACACATAGAGACCATGACAATAGAGAATAATGGAGGGATTTTTTTAATGGATTTTATGACCTGGTAACTGAGACCTTTAAGTCATGTCTTATTTTAATTTATATTCTTATTTTTATGAAAAACTTGCTGACCCGGCAGACTTCGTAGTGCCTCAATCGATAAATAAAAGACCTAAACTTTTATATAGAATAAACTTAAAACAAACAAACGCAATCCGTTCGACGGGGGACACGTCAAAGGGAAAACAAAATTGTTATTTTTATTTAATTCCGAGAATTTTCATATTTTTATACCTTTTAAACCTGGACTTCCACAAATAATTCAAGACCAAAATTAGCCAAATCGGTCAAGCCGTTTTCATGTTATGTCGTGACAACGGAAAACGGGTTTCATTTTTATATACAGTCAAACCTGGATAAGCGAGAACTGGATAAGTGAGAAAACTCTATAAGTGAGAGTAATAGCCAGGACCCGTCATTTTAAGCGCCCAAAACCTCTATTAGCGAGAAACAGAAACCTCTGTAAGAGAGAGTCGTTTCTCCCTCATGGACCTCCGTAAGTGAGACTGCTACTTATCTATACCTCTATAAGCGACAGTCGAGCTTTATTTATTTATATTATTTAGGAGGAACAAATGACAAAACAAACTACAAATTTTATGACTCATTCTTAACTTTCGGGGAACTTTCTACCATTGTTTTTGTATTGTTTTCTCGTTAATATTGAACCTATTCTATTTCGTGGAACTAAATAACATTGTTACTTTATCGCATTCTTTTCGAATGGACACGTGTGCCTGTGTACCGTCCTGTTTGTCGGTCTTACTCAGTTTATCGTTAATCAATTGCGAAAGAAAGTTCTGTTCGGCATCATGTCGAAACGGAAAATTAAATTACTGTCATTAAGTGATAAATTTAAAATAGGGAATGCATTTCAATCCGGAAAATCGCGAAATGAAATTCAGAGGGAGCATTAGCGAGAAACTCGGGTTAGTGAGAAACCTCTATAAGCGAGAATGAGATTGTGCTCCCTTGAACTCTCGCTTATCCAGGTTTGACTGTATATAGATGATGATAACATGGAGTGAAATGAAATGAAGATGATTAATTTGAGACATTAATCAGCTGGGATGAAATTAAATGAAATGAAATGAGATGATATGGGATGAAATATAATCTCAGTAAAATGGTGGTAATTTACTAAGATTTTTTCAGTGGACTTTTTAGGGATCCCGAGAAGTTACGTTCAACGCCTTTGTTTCATTTTCCCACATTTGTGCACTTTCACAGATATTAAACAGTTAACAAACCACCATTATTACACATTTAAACCTGAAGAAACACTAAATAGACAAAATAAAACAAATCACACAACTTCACTCCTCGCGCTCCCGCCAAAAAGTCCAATGGAGGGATTAAGTGATGAGACGACAAAGACTAAAAGCAATTCTTATTTCTATAGTTTCATAGGTGAGGTTGCGTTGGGCGAGGGAGTTTTGCGGGCACAGGGAATGTCCACTCTCTGCCTATTCCTAGCGCGAAACAAATATTCGATCCGCGTTGAAGAACTAATCCTAGTATTTAAGTAACTATTTAACCGTTTAAGAGTATATTATATGCATTTTTTTCTTTTATTGCATACATGAGTGGACGAGCTCACGGCCCACCTGGTGTTAAGTGGTTACTGGAGCCCATAGACATCTACAACGTAAATGCCGTGACCCTACTTTGAGATATGAGTTTTAAAGTCTCAGTATAGTTATAACGGCTGCCCCGTCCTTCAAGCCGAAACGCATTACTGCTTTACGGCAGAAACAGGCAGGGTGGTGGTACCTCCCGTGTAGAATCACAAGAGGTCCTACCACCAGTGTGTACGTGCGTGCGTGTGTTTGCGTGTGTTTGCGTGTGTGCGTGCGTGTGTGCGTGCGTGCGTACGTACTGAGCGGCGCGTCGTCGTCGTCCTGCGCGAAGGCGGCGTGCGGGCGGCGCACCCGGCCCTCCGCGCCCGCTCCTGCAACACGCTCTGTGTCAATCTCTCTCTCTCTCTCTCTGTTCTCACACACTAGTCGACTTGTGCGTTTACTTGTTTAGAGTAACTAGAATTAAGTCCCTCCTTTTTAAATGGGTTGAAACAGTTTTTTTTTAATAATTATTAACACCATTTAAGAATCAGAAGACGTCGAAGTGACCCTTAAAGCTACTCACCGTCGGGCGTGCGGTCCACGCTGATGGGGCTGCGGCGGTTCCGGAAGCTTATCGTCAGCGGAGAGTTGGAGCCCGAAGCGCCGCTCTGTGGGACGGCGGGAGCGCGTTACTAGTGCCCCGACTACTGCTAGGAGCTTATTCATAACCTCAAAACACTTTTCTAATTACACTTCAAAGCATGAAGATGGTCACGACTTACTCGTAGTCTGTGAACGCGGGGTGTGACAGTCCCAACGCGTCTTTGAAATATTGTATTGAAGTTCTTAGAAAAAAATGATAAATAATTAATGAAAAGAGCGTGTGACCCTGCCGGGGTGCCGCGGGTCGGATCGACTGTGTACACCTTTTTTTTTTTTTTTTTTTTTATGATTGAAGGATTACTGGTGGCCCGGAGGCTTTTCCAGTTTCACCAGGACAGGTGGGCGAGCAAAGGCTCAGCCAGGAGGGGTGGGATTTGCTAACAGCTACCCGAGCGCCTCCGAAGGAGACCTAACAGCTCAAGAGCAGCTGCTTCGCGAATGAATCTACTACCGGATCGGAATCGCGACCCGCTGAGAAGATCCGGCGAGAAACTCAGCGAGCTGATTCATGGGTTAGGTTGCACGGCGAACTCTTTGTCGAGTTCGACGAGTACGGTTACCGAGGTCCTTAAGCCTGCTCCTAGTGTTAGAGCTGAAGGCGTCTAATGCAAAGGTTATTGGATCTGATGGATCCGTAAGGACGTGTCTAGGGCGTCGACGGTGACTGGCTCCTGCATGATCAGGATTCGGGGAGTAGTCAGCGGCGGCTACGATAAGGCGATTATCATGACGCATAGCCTTATCGAAGTACCGTTCCGACGCTGACTTCATGTATTTCTGTATAGATTCGAGGCCCAGGTCGTCGTGTAGGTCAACGTTCCTCACGAACCACGGAGCTCCGACGGCTAACCTGCAAAAGCGGGATTGTAGAGATTGAAGGGTGTCTATGTGCGTGCGGGCCGCGTGAGCGAACACCACACTCGCGTAAGTCATGACGGGCCTTATGCAAGTTTTGTAAAGTGTCACCTTGTTCCGAAGGGACATTTTACTCCGCTTACAAATCATGGGGTAGAGTCTACCGAGAATAAACGCGGCACGGTCACGGACTGATTTTATATGCGGGCGGAATGTCATCGATGCATCCAGGGTAACGCCCAGGTACTTGACCTTCCTGACCCAGGGTATGGATTGACTAAAGAGAGTAATCGGGGGTGAGAGTACACCTCTAATAACGACACCACTATGAAAATCTGTTACATTATTATTTCATTATTTCATAAAGCTACACTGGATAACTACACTAATAGATTCTCAAGTTAGGCTATACTTTCTAAAAAAAATTTGGTTTTATTTAATCAATGACCCCCCCCCCCCCCTGCACTGTTCGGGTCTGCGGACTAGCGCTGCTCACCCCCCATTCCTATCGTACAAACATAAGAGTATACTCACATGCGTCCTGTCCCCCCCGGTGGCCCCCCCGCTGGCCGGCGAGGGGGGCCGCGGCGGTGTGGTGCCGCCGTCGCTGCTCTGTAACAGTGAACATAGCTCTATACGCGGAGCACAGGATCGCAGTAGCCAATTCTACAACTAAGATTTACAAAAACACTAAGTAGGAGATTTCAATGAAGATTTTCATAAAATGATAATTAGATTTATATTATTAGATTTATTTTAACCGCATACAATCGTTTAGGGAACAAGCACATGTCATCGCACGGGGCGGTACTACATGAGCGCGGGGCGGCGGTATGTGCTAGTGGACTCACGTCGTCGGTGCGGTCCCGCGAGCGGCGCCGGCGCTCCGTGAGGTGGCACTGTAAGGCGTCATATCGCAAGTTCGTCGGCACAGCATGTAACGGAAGGACTACTATTACGGCTTACTGTCGGAGGTGCGGCGCACATGGTTGAGCGGCGCAGTACGTACCGGCGGCGTGTGCGGGCGGTGGCGGTGCTTGTGGCGGTGCGGCGCGGGGGGCGCGGCGGGGGGCGACGAGGGCGCGCGGGGGGCCGCCGGTGGGGGGGGCGTGGAGCCCGCCTCCGAGCACGCGCCGTCGCTGCGGGAGGACACTCGTCAACACTCGATAACGATTTTTCGAAAACCATATTAGTCCACTATAGTAGAATTATTTTGTCTGTACAGTTTGGGTCATATAACATAGCCCAACTAGGGCGGTGAGCATGTTGCGCGGGCGCAACGCCATTATCGATAAAAACAAATGAGTTATCGAAGGCAGGTACACGGCAGCGGGGTGGTATACGAAGGGCGGTGAGACATTGTTATGTTGAGTCATTTGTTGTACCTACCTGAAAATTATAGTACATAATAATATGTCGAAGAGAAATGTAATTTTGTGCATTCGCTCTCTGAATTTCTTTAGTGACAAAATGGCTACTCCTTTGTTTTGTACCAAAACGGCAGAATTTATTCCAATATTTTGCTTGTTGGCAAAAATATACCAGCACAAGCACGTGTGAGCAATTTTTAACACATCAACAATGTATTGAAATTTTTTACTGAAATGAGATAGATCCCGAAAAGTTACAAAGTATTAATTTCAGCCGTTCTCGTTAACTTGCTGCGGCGATATGTGGTGTAAGTGTTCGATTAGTGATTTTTTTCTATCATTTTTATCACTAACCCACAAAATGACAAAACTAAATATACTATCGATAACGCTTATCGACAACAATAATGTGCATAACTATGCCCGTCCATAAGGCTCGTGAGTGGAAGAGAGAGCGAAATACTCGCTGTACCGCTCCGATTTTTTATGACCCAAACTGCATGGACAAAATTATAGTCAGTGATACCTTTCAGGGTAGAATCAAACTATGAGATATTTTTTTCAATTTATAAGCCAAGTTTATTACGAAGCGGCGGGTGCGGCGCCGGCCTGTCAGCTGAACGAGCTCTAGTCAGTGCTCGCTGCTGCAATCTTGGAACATTTTATTTGTGCTAGAACCTAGCGAGTCGGCGCACCTGTCGTCGGAGAGCGCTTGCGGCGGCGAGCGCGGCGGCGAGTGCGGCGGAGAGCGCGGCGGGGAGCGCGGTGGAGAGTGCGGCGGCGGGGAACGCGGCGAGGGCGGCGGGCGGGCGCGCGGCGGCGGGGCGGGCGGCGCGTACATGTGCTCGTGCTGTCGGCGGGCGCGCGCGTAGGCGGCGAGGGCGGCGCGGTCGTCGGGCGGGCGGTCGCGGAAGTAGTGGTCCCGGAGCGCGTCCAGCTCGTCCTGCTCGCGGCGCCGCTCGCGCGAGTCGCCCTCTGCCTCGCGCACGCGCCCACTCAGCCGCCGCTGCAGCTCCTTGCCTCTGCGCGCAGAACGTTCGCTCTTAACGTATACACGATAATATTTGTGTGCGCTTTGATCGAGGTGGTCTGCCAGAGCACCGACACACATAGAGTGGGGGTCCGGGGGTGCGCGGCTGTGGGTCTCGATCCCGCCCACATTACCACTACAGTTTTCTATCAATCAAGAACATCTAACCCATTACCAAACACAAAAAGTTAATCAAGAGACTTAACACAGTGACACTGCACAGCACAGCCGCCGTGCGGCGCCGCGCGGGTGGGAGCAGATCAACGTTTAAGTCACCTAAAGAACAATAGACAGCCTTCAAGCATTGAGTGATCCAATTTGGTCATACACTTTCATTTAAAATTACCTATTGAGGGATCTTAATACTATCCCAGTACGTCCTGAACGAACATATAAGTGTAACTAACAATGCGGAGGCGTAACTGTAACTAACAAGGGGGTGCTTGGCGCTCGCCGACTCGCTTACTTGTAATATTTGTGATCATCTCTCTCGTCGTCATAATCTTCCAGGAACTCCTTAAGTCGTTTGGCCTCTCTCTCCCTCTCTTCCTCGCGGACTCGCTCCCTCTCTTTTTCTTTCTCATAATCTTTAGCTTTGCGCCGCTCTCGTCCCTCCCAGTTCCGCAACCTGAATGAAGTGATATTAGTACCCACATACAGTGTAAGCGCAAGTGTCGGCGCGGTCGTGGCACGCACCTCTCCTGGTAGGCGGCCTCCTTCTCCTTGGCCTTCTTGTCGAGTCTCTTCCTGTCCCGCGCTTCCTCTTCCATCTCCTTGTCCCTCCTGGCGTCCACCTCGCTCCGCCCCCGCTCTCGCGACCGGGACCTCTCCCGCTCCCGCTCCCGCTCTCGCTCGCGCTCGCGTTCTCGTTCCCTCTCCCGCTCCCGCTCGCGCTCGCGCTCTCTGGAACCGAACGAACACTTAATGTCAGCAATGACACGTCAAAACCTAAGATTCATTATTGTTATTGTCACTGTAGTGGGGTCGGTCATTGATATTTTGTAATCGATTACAACAACAAATAACAAAATAGGTTGAGTGGCAGCAGTGGTTATGGAACTTTGTACATGCATTTTTGAAAACTGACTATTTCTAAAAGTTGGATAATCCTAAGCTCGTTAATAAATTTTAAATCCATAATTATGTAGTAATATGAAGCGAAAAACTAAAGTGCGTTAAAACTATCAACTAAAACACGAGAAATAGTAAATTGATCGAGCCATTTATACTGTATAAACGATATGGGTGTACTCTCAGTTGCATCACAATGTTTGCTCAAATATTATTGTGCTACTAAATTAGAAAAACATTAAATAATTACCGCTATAACCTCATAAGTTTATATTGGCTGGTTGTTGTTGAATATTAGCTAGATAATTCATTCTATTCCAGGAATAATAACATTCTCATTCTATAAAGAAATATTTTCATTTGAGTTATTAAAGAGACCATGATAATTATGTTTTAAAAGTATATAAAGAAAAAACACAAAAAAGATTTTTTGGGACGGATTCACCCACCCGTCATTCAGTGAAGAGAGTGGTTCGGTCTTGCACAGTAATGTTTAAATATTAGTTTAAATAGAGGTTAAGGGCTTTAAATGTTGTTTCCTTATTTATATTACAGATGAGTGAATACTATGTTAGATAAATTTATCACAGTTTCTAATTTTATGCTGTCAATAACGTCTTATTTATATTACAGAAAACGCAATTAGGTCTTTCATTGTATTAAAATAATATATTCTGAAGTATGTGATATCATTATAAATATATAAATAAAAATTATAAAATGTGAATATTTGTCCAGTAAATTGAATTTGTGCGAAGACAGGTTGATGGCCGGGGACGTTGTTAGTGAAGTTGACTTACCTCTCTCTGTCTCTTTCTCGCTCCCTTTCTCGTTCCCTTTCTCGTTGTTCACGTTCTCTCTCCCTCTCGCGCAGCTCTCTACGGAAAGGTATTTATAAAGTGTCGTTTCATTCGTGTCTATTTCGAACATTAATGTTTTAAAATCGAGTCGTTGATTACCTTTCTCGCTCTCTTTCCCGTTCTCTCTCCCGCTCTCTATCCCTCTCTCGCTCGTCTCGTTCCCTGTCCTTGTCGCGGTCTTCGCGCCGGTCCTTACTCCTGCAGACACCGACACAACTGAGTGAGTGCTACCGGTCGCGCTAGCAGCGGGCGAACCACACCGCGGAGTTCGTGCGGTACTTACCTGGAGGCGCTTCTCCTGCGGCGATCCTTCTCCCTGTCTCTGTCTCGTTCTCTATCTCTTTCCTTGTCGCGCTCACGATCGCGATCCTTCTCCCTCTCTCTTTCTCTGTCTTTGTCTTTTTCCTTGTCCTTTTCGTCCTTGGGGTCTTTTTTCCTTCTGCCAATCACGTCGGCCTCCTCCTGCGCCCAAAAGCCACAAGTCTCATCGCACTGCAATACAAGCTCACGTCCAATAGGGGTGCAGGACACGCGGGACCGACTATGCATCACCATCCTTGTCTATTCATTTAGAATAGAAAGAAACAATGTTATAATATCTACAGCGTCTGCAAAAAAAATATATCTACCACAGTAGCAGTTGAAAGGCATTCTCACAATTTATGCAAAAATATGATATGTTTAGACGCGAAGAAGCCAACAAATGAGGCAGCGGGTGTCGGCCGGCGCGGCGAGTTGGTCACCGCTGTACTACGACCTCAACGTTCGACTGATTTGTTGTGGGACGACTTATTATTTCCATAACAAAATTAATACCGGCGCGAAGTCACTTGCTCCTACTTCAGGCTCTGCACAAAGATTCAGTTTCCTTGCAACCGTCGTTGGTGACGTTAGTTCTCTCTTCATGTCGCGGGTAGAGGGAGGCGCGGTCGGGCGGTACCTTCACGCGACAGTCCGGACACGAACAACAAGGGAACACTTATGTATGATGTATTGTGAAAGATAATATCCAAGAGGCAATTTATTGTGTTATGTTTTATGATTACTGTATCTCTATGCTAGCAACAGATTAAATTGGAGGACATTAAGATCGAAACAATAATAAACATGATAGTCCACAATCTGTACCGGCGCCATTAATGAGGCTGAGGGGCTTTCGGGATCTACCGGTAGATCAGTCCTCGTGTTCTGCGGGCGCCGACCGCGCGCGGTTGTGCGCGTGTGCGTGTGTGTGTGCGTGTGTGTGTGTGTGACGCGTGTGCCTGGCGTGGGAGGAGCCGGCGACTGGTGTTACTTACTATGGGGTCCGAGGGTCGGGGACGACGTGACGAGGCGACGGCTCGCGCCAGTGGGATCCCGCGACGTGTCCCGCGATGTCGCCGACGGATAGGTCAGGGCGCCGCCCGCCCCGCACAGCCAGTGCGGCGCCGCGCGCTGTGCGAGACGGGCGCGCCCGCCGCGAGTCCACAACTCACGAATGCGGACTCGCGACCGAGCAGACTCACAACGAAACGGATCTCTGCCGATCGGCACGTCAATAAAACGCAAATAGCTTCTTCACAGTTATTCCGCAAGATTAATTATATTATTGAACATCTACATCTTTACTGAAAAAGAATTCGTTTCATTAAGAAGTCTGCCGATATAAATCAATTAAAGTAAATAATATGTGTAATAGAAATAAACCATGTCAAATGATAATGTGAGCCCAACGAGTGTCCGTGTTACTAATGTGGTGTAGGACTCGTGTGCGGTGACGTCACAGTGTGACGCGCCGCGTGGCGTGTGTGGTGTGGGGTGTGGGGTGCGGTATGGAGTGGACTCACCGTACGTACTAGTCACGGCAGGACTCGCTTCACCGCCTCGCCACCTGCCGTCCACACGAGTCAGCGCACACACGCACGCCCAGCGCTGCGTCTCGCTCTCTCCTCGCTCTCTACGTCTCTGCGTCTCTGTCGCACTCTCGTACCCGCACGCCCTCGTACGCACACACTCACACACACATTCGCACGCACGCTCGCACACACGCACCGGACTACTATTGACTGTTGTGAACTAATTACACACTGTTCTTTATTATAAAATTGCATTTAAAGGTAAGCTATCATTGTAACATAATAAACGTGAATCGTTTGGGCACGTTACGTTTATATATTATACCCATTATTATTATATTATACCCAAATCCCTATATCAATCTCTGTATTATATTTGTGATGACTAAAAACAGTGGTGTGTTTGTTATATTGAGGATACAATATCAATTTATTATTCAAATCAATATATAAATAGAACAAAGTAAGCCAACAGTCCGCACAGACACAGGGGCCGGCGGCGACAGTGCGACAGAGCGCGCGGCGCGGGGCGCGGTGTGGCCGGGGGGGCCGGGGGCCGGGGGGGCCGGGGGACGCACTCACCTTCATGCTCTCGCGGAACTTGCCAATCTCGCGGTGGATGACGTCACGTTTCTCCTCCGAGATGTCGGCCTCCTCCAGCACGCGCGCCGTCTTAGAGATGGCTTCCTCTGTGGGAACAGGCATGTTACGACGCGACACGCTCACGCTTGCACCAAGTGCAAGCAGAATTCTTATATATGGACTATAGTAATATATAGTAATATAATCACTCAACTTTACAATTTATCCCTTATTTAGGAATTTTAAAATTACTCAGCTATAAATGAGATTACCTTAAACTGTTAGTTACAGATGAATTTTCAGTTTTCGGTTTTTAAAAATCACAAAGTAGTGTTTATGAATTTTACAGCGGACACACGGCTGTGTGACGCATTGTACTTGTACCAGTTGTTGCATTTAGACAAACACATTTATGAACAAATACTAGTAGCTAAAAGTTTAAAATAGAAGTCTTCAAAATATAACTTTCTAGAAAATAGGGACGGAGGTACAGAAGGGATAAGATCACCGTTGTGAACCTTCTTTTTTTATTGTTTAGATGGGTGGACGAGCTCACAGCCCACCTGGTGTTAAGTGGTTACTGGAGCCCATAGACATCTACAACGTAAATGCGCCACCCACCTTGAGATATAAGTTCTAAGATCTCAAGTATAGTTACAACGGCTGCCCTTTCTGTATGATGGTATATAGGTACCTTTCTGTATGATGTCATAGTTGTTGATGTCGTCCTGGTACTCCACCGCGATCTGCTGCAGGCGCGCCTCGGCCGCCTCGTCCAGCGCCCGCTGCCGCGCGTCCAGGTACCCGCCCCCCGCGCCCGCCGCGCCACCCCCCGCGCCCTCCTCCAGCCGGGACCGCTGCTCCGCTGCGCACACAAGCCGCGTGTCACATTCAACGGGTTCGACGAGAACGGTGACCGGTGCTAACAATGCCTAGAAGCACCGATAGTGGATCCCGAGAATCCATATACAGGAAGTCTCACGAGGGGTATATCGAGTACAATAAACTGTTCTTCTGCCAACTCTTAAATTCTGTTTTACGCAAGGGTACCATAAAAAGATTCGTAGCAAAAAATAAGGCTGACAACATCAAAAGATGCAAAAACATTTGTGTCAGAAGTAAACATATTAATACTAGCTTAATCGAGTAGGTACTCCTATCTGTAAAAGGGGCATGTGATGTCATCTGATTGAAACGCACACAACATGCTCTACCACCAGTTCCTACAGAATTAACATAATACTAATATATTAGGGTCAATCTAAGACATTCTCACTCTTGTAAGAGTCAACGAGAGCCTGCATCTTGCCATCAGTACGAGCCAACAAGCGCTTGTCTCCCAGCTCCCTGTCATTGAGAAGTCGAACACATCGGAGAGCAGCTTCCGGACCTGAAAATGAACACAAACTTTAAGAACCAATCATAAGAAGTAAATGTGTTTATCACACAGAAAATATGGAATGATTATGAAAGTGATTCCCAAATATTATAAGTTTTGTAATTTACCTCCAAATTCACAGAACCCAAAAGTGGAGACTCTCTTCCATGTGAGTACAGTCCCGCACGCATTGAGCATTGAACGTATCATTGTGTCAGGGGCTCTAGATGATAAATTTCCTGGAATCAATCCAACAAAATAATTATACTATGTACCCAATCCAAAGCTGAAAAATGTACATTCATTTTCAATAACTTATAAAGTTCAGTCTCTGAAGGCAAACATATTGTTTACATATTCTAAAATAAAAAAATAACTAAAATAGGAACTTTCCAATTGAATAGTAGAGCTAATCAATATAGTCAAATAGCATCACAAGGAATAACGATGTTACCCACTGTGCTTACAACTCTTCTGAAGTCAAAAAAAATATTTTGTTTCACAGATTTTACTGTTGTATATTAAATATTGTATAAAATCAAATATAGCTTTATTTATGTACAATAATTAATATTTACTGAAACTACTCTGCATTCAATCTAGGTAAGGCTTGTTACTCCTGAGTAGTTGATGATGTTAATGTCATTTGTGTGTCATTGTTTTTACTAATCTATACATTAATACGTGAATCAAAAATTTTGTATCCCTTTTTACGAAAATTGTGCAAACGGAGGACTATGAAATTTTCCACACTTAAAGAGAATAAAGAGAAGAAGTGCACAATGTTAATATTTTTTTTAAATAATGCATAAAAGATACATTAAATCAATAAAGAAAACATTACACACACTACATACCATTTGACGCACACACGCATGCATACTATTTATTATGATTTATTGTCAAACTTTTGTTCTTGACGTTTGTGGTCAAATTGAGAATAGATTAAATATTGTTTGTCTTTATTAATATTTTTTTATAGTGTAGTCTTGGCGAAATTTGTGATTATAGAAGTATATAATACAATCATAATAGTGTACAAACTTACAATTCCAATTTATTATAGTCGAATTTCGACTACTGCGGGACCTCTAGTTCCAATTATTACACTCTTTATGAAAAACGCAAACGTATTTTAATTTACTTGATTTATTAAAGAAAATTAATAAGGAAATGAAACCCATTTGTCGAGGGTGTATATTGAAAATGTGAAGAGATAATAATGAAATTTACCAATAAACACAGTGACAGGGGGTCCTTCAACATCTTTAGCACCATTCGTGTTACGAGTTGGACCTCTGGCAATGACAGCTTTCCCCGCCTGTGGAGCTCCCGGTGCGGGCAATAATGCTCCACGACCTCCAGTATTTGTTGTACCATATGCACCGACCATTACCTAGAAATTTTAATAACATAAGACATAACGATGATAGATATAATGAAGCTCATAAAATTTTAACCATAAAAATATTAATTACTAACTAACTACTTTCATTTTGACCCCTTCCTAGGAAGTGGATCCCATCATTTCGATTACTGTTCATTTTTGCCATATTATTATACCATCCTACTCTAGAATAAAATTCCCTATATGGTGTTTCCCTATCGCCATATTTATCTTCTAATAAAGATTAAAAAAACTGTTTAAGTTTAAGATTAAATAGCATGCAGTGGTCTAACTGTGGCTCAAACTTTTTTTGCTGATGTTGCTGATAGCTATAGGCAATAGTAACCACAATATACCAACAAAAGTGCTAATTTTTTTTAGATTGGAATGCATGTATTTATTAAAATAAAAATAGTTCTGCATTTAAGGTATGATAATTATGTAAAATCAATAATTTGGTATGGTAATGTTTGATTGGATAAGTTGGTCGTCTGAAATTCTTTAACATTTGCTTGACGTATCTAAAAATTACAAAGCGTTCTAACTTAACTATCACCCAACACTATTACTCCTCAAAAACAAATCAACTTCACATTGAAAGTATGGTTTTCGCCTGTGATGGTAGAGTTGGATAAAAAATATAAAGTATTTTCAAATTACATGTATAGATGAGATGACTCTGTAAATTTACAAGTTTAATAGGAAAGCGGATTAGGGAAGTTCTTACACATTTATCAACATCAATCCACATTAGTCAACTGCAGATTATAGGCCTCGCAAATGTGCGCAAGACGGACCGAACCTGGGCTGCCGGCATCTCAAGTAATAAATTTCTCAATTTGCTGGAAGCTAGCTACTTATAACCGATTATAGGTTATGATAGGAGTGAGCTACGTACATGGGTAGGCATTGACATGGTGACCACGCCAGGAGCGATGCCGTACGGCACAAGCGGCGGCCGCGGCGGGAACGACATCTCGACGGACCCTCTTCGTTCCTGTTTCTTAGTTTTCTTTATACAAAGTAACACTCAATTAAACCACAACGTCAATTTTATACATCAAAGATTCACGATCAGATGAAAGTATCACTTTAAACTTAACAATTTGCAATTATCTTAGATCTACAAACACTTAATCCAATTCATGAACAATTAAAATACAGATCGATTACAAAACATCTTCTATTATAGAAACGCCATGATACTCAAACGTCGCCATCTTTTATAAATACTAGAGTAATCAGTAAAATGTTGAATATTTCGCCTTCAGAATGGCAGCTCGGAAAGTTCAGACTTCAGACTGCATTTTGACACTTGACACTTTTGACAGTTCTAATCCTTTTTTTAAGATTGTATGGCCTGGTAATGAGATTTTTAAGGCGAGCCAAGTCTTATTTTCGAGCCCAACTTCTTAAGTATTAGGGGTTAAAGCATGAAATTGCCGATTTGTACTGGTAAGTTGAAATTTGTTTTTTTTTTNAATGGCAGCTCGGAAAGTTCAGACTTCAGACTGCATTTTGACACTTGACACTTTTGACAGTTCTAATCCTTTTTTTAAGATTGTATGGCCTGGTAATGAGATTTTTAAGGCGAGCCAAGTCTTATTTTCGAGCCCAACTTCTTAAGTATTAGGGGTTAAAGCATGAAATTGCCGATTTGTACTGGTAAGTTGAAATTTGTTTTTTTTTTTCTCATTTAACATAATTTTTATTTATTATTATTATCTACGAGTATTATCTATACATTGCTGCCATCTAATGGGAAGGTCATTTATGCCTTTGCGATAGAACTCTGGTGATCTAGATTCTAGAAACTGTGTGAAAACATGTTGTACTGCTTTCTGGGAAGAAAACTTTTTATCACGTAAAAAGTTGTCCAAATCACGAAAAAAATGGTAGGCTGTTATACCGGTCACTCACACTCGCACGAATACGCAAACCCTCAAGTGTAGTACGACATTTGCAAATGATTATGCAAAGTTTTCGCTGCATTCGTGGTTTTCCAAGCTGTATCGGTTTTTTAACAGACATCAAAGCGCGCGAACCGCGATCCTTTGCGTAGTCTCCCACACATTCGTGTGACCAGTGACGCCCAGGATGGCAAAGGCAACGGACGTTTCGCTATTTTCATAGATCGTGACGTCTACTGTGTAGCGTATCTTCATCAAAAGAAATCCCATAAAAACAGCATGGCTGTTAATTATGTCTGGGAAAGAATTCAAAACTCTTTTTCTCTTCAATGTTCTATTGACGAATTAAAAAGGAAAAGAAATTCGTGAGACATTCGTAAATAAGTGTAGGAGGAAGCGTAAACGGGTTCGCAAATTGAGTACCGAACCCATTTGCACAGCCGCTAAGTTTGCGAATGAATGTTTGACGGCCCTTCACATGCGCGCAAATATTCGTACATTGTACACGCGCAAACATTCGTACAATGTACGAATATTTGCGCGCATGTGAGTGGCCGGCATTAGAGCAAGGTCTGGCGAATACCGAGAGTGACGAATTATTTCTAATTGTAGTTCCTGTAGAGTTAAAACGGTTTGTCGTGCTGTGAGGTCTCGCATTATCATGGAGCAATATGTTAGAAGGGCATGATGCTATCCACGTAAACTTGTCTATGATACACTGCATTTGAATTTGCATTATGTTCTTTTATTTTTTTGATGTGCGGTGTTATTATGAATATTATTTTTTCTAATATACAAGTAAACACAATGTTTTCAAGTATTACACAACTCTACAAAAAAATTTCGTTCTTTGTCCTAACATTTATACTAAGTTTTTCCGGTTAATTATTCACAAAAACGAAAATAAAATACCTTTTTTGGTATAAAGTTTGCTTTTGTGATAGTTATAGTAATAATACTCATTTTTTTTTTTTTTTAAATTTTAATTAAGTTAATACTTTTAAAAAAACCGCGCTATGAGAGTGGGTTGTTTACGTTTACACAGTGCCACTAGATGGCAATCGAGTCATAAACAACGATCAGAGGTTTTGTACAAGCCCAGAAAAACTTAACATTTTGTTTCATATGTGGTCAATTTATTAAAGTTCAAAAGCAAACTGTTTCATGCCATGTATTTTTTTTTCGTCTAATTTAGATCTAAAACATCGAAATTTTATGCTTTGCAATCAAAGTCAAATTTGGTGTTGACCCGTGTTATTTAAGTATTAATTAATTGCTATAGCCGCTAGTCCTCCCCATCACAATAATGGTGAAGATCGATTCATGAGTCAAGGCTGTTTTACTGCAAGTTGTGCTATCATTATTCCGAGTTCGGCACAGTAGAAATCTGCAGTTATTGCTTGACCAGATCGGAGAAAGCTATAGTGAATAACACCATGCTGAGACTATCAAACACTTACCATTACCTTTTTATTGGTAAGCTTTGCTTTAGGACACTGTTGTCGTAAAAAATCCACTTTTCATCACATGTCACAATTCGATCCAATATTCCTTAATTTCTGTATCGATTCAACAAGGCAACACAAGTTTCAAAACGCGTTTGTTTCTGCAGGTCAGTCAAATTATGTGGCACCCATTTTTCATATTTTTTTATTATATTGATTTGACGCAAAGGAGTCAATATTGTTAGTAAGGTAACATTAAACCATGCCGCTAATCCCTGGTTAGTTTGGGTCGGATCGGCTTCCACTATCTCTTTCAATTCATTGTTAATGTGTGGGCGGTCTTCCACGTGGTTCGTTCTTCAAATCAAAATTTCCATCACGAAACCGTCTAAAACAAAATCTCACAGTGCGTTCATTAGCTGTCCCCTCTCCAAACGCAACATTGATATTGCGAGGCCCTTCTGGAGCGTTAGTTCGGCGTCGGAACTCGTATTCAAATATCACTTGAATTTTCGAAGTATCCATCTTTCTTGTCTAAGCTGAATAAAAAAAAACAACTGAAGTCGATACATAATCGAATGTTGCAAATTTTTTTAAAGAACAACCTCATCGATACCATTCGGTACCATATAGAAAAGTTTCACTCAAAAATCTCAAACCATGAAGGTTCTATGTAATTTTGTAGTAGGTACCTACCTATTACAATAGAACGACAATTTCATACTTTAACCCCTATTATTGAAATCGTCGTCACAGTATTTTTAGCATATTAGTATAATGCTTTATAAAAGTTTCTGTTTTTATGCTATGTTCTTATGTAGAATTGTGTAGATTATGTATAACGAGTTTACTATAAAACAGATCCTATTGGTTTTTTTTTTTCTTTTTTTTTTTTTTTTCTTGCCTAAGCTGGTATCCTTGAGAGGCTATTCCAGCGGAACCTTAACTAGTAGGTGAGCTCACGGGGCTCAAACCTGACGACAATGCTAACACGAACCCTAGCAAGAGTCGTGCTTCGCAGAATGTACCACCGGATCGGAAACGCGACCCACTGAGAAGATCCGGCGAGAGCCCTTCGTCGCAAGCGACGGGTTCGACGAGAACGGTGACCGGTGCTTGAAGTACCTAGAAGCACCGTTAGTGGATCGGGAGGATCCGAGATGACGTGTTTTGGGCGACGTCGACTGCTTTCCATTTTTTCCCCAGGATCGGGAATGTAGTTGCCGGCGGCCACGATGAGAGGGTTCTCGTGTCGTGCCGCTTTATCGAAGTGGACTTTATTGTGCTCTTCAAGTCATACATATCCAACACAGGCGACGGGACAACGCAAAGCCGCCGTCACTTGAAACATGTATTGTCGGATCCCCTGTATTCACTCTCGGTGCTTTTAGGCTCTTCAAACACCGGTCACCATCCTTGTGCGTGCGCAAAGCGGGGATGCGGTGAATGATTACTATTGATAAGTCTGGATTTTATTAACTCATTGTAATACACACAATCACGTAGAAATTTTATATGCTGGATAAATTTTATTTTACTGGTGGTAGGACCTCTTGTGAGTCCGCGCCGGTAGGTACCACCACCACAATGCGTTTCGGTTTGAAGGGCGGGGTAGCCGTTGTAACTATACTGAGATCTTAGAACTTATATCTCAAGGTGTGTGGCGCATTTACGTTTTAGATGTCTATGGGCTCCAGTAACCACTAACACCAGGTGTGCTGTGAGCTCGTCCACACATTTAAGCAATAAAAAAAAAAAAAAAAATGCTATAAATCTTAAATTTTAATTACTAAATGTTATTGTTAAATGTTAGGGTCGCGAAGACTGCACCCGGCTTCCGCGGAAACAGGCTGTTGAACGGCTATGGTTCCTACTCAATTGCAATTGGAAATAAGCGTGTAGTGTGCGTTATTCCTTGCTAAGATGTTCGGTCCTATTATACCAAACACCCCCCCTAGACAGTTCGAAGAGCCAAGTAACGTATATACACAACCCATCGAGTTCCCCGCCGGACCTTCTCAGTCGATCACAATTTCTACGCGATGGTAATTTTGCGAAGCACTACTCTTATTCAATGGCGGATCCAGGGGGAGGGTCATGGGGGTCACCACCCCCTGAGCTGGGTCCAAGACTTAGGTGGACCACTAATTGAATATAATGATTTTATTTATATATTTTGTCACCATACAGTTTTTATGTAACTACATACCTTCAATATTTAATTAATTTAATATAATATAATAAATAACTTTGTATAATGGCAAACGTTTGGGAACGAACGCATCTAAATTTGACTATGTGACCCCCTCCTGGCGCCAAAGCTGGATCCGCCCTTGCTCTTATTAAGGCCAGTGTTAGCAAACTCCCTCAGGTTGAGCTCGTGCGCTCGCTTACCCTTCCGCAAGAAACTAGAATAGCCCTTTGGCTACCTACCAGCGAACAGATAGGGAAGTTTTCCCTTAAATATTAAATTATCATTATTTTCGGGAATAAATTAATGAAACGATCCTATCATACATATGAATTATTGCCTTACATTATGGAGCTAAGTGCGATCTGGATAATTTATTAACTTTGAGATTTATTTTTTTAATTAAAAAAACAACAAAAAGGTTTGATCGGTGATAGTAATTTAAAATAAAACATGAAAGATATTGCAAAAATTTATTGAGATTTATCTCCGTATTATAAAATTAACACAACTTTTAAAGACTAGTTTGTACACAATGCCTTAGCTAAGTTTGTGGCAAACGCGTTAATGCTTCGTACTATCGCTACGTCCGTCACATCGGGTACTAGCAGCTAAGCGCGTGTACCCGTGGGGAGGCGTGGGGTTGCCGTGGACACAAGCAGTTCATTTTATTTTTATTTTTGTTGCATAGATGAGTGGACGAGCTCACAGCCAACCTGGTGTTAAGTGGTTACCGGAGCCCATAGACATCCACAACGTAAATGCCACCACCCACCTTGAGATATGAGTTCTAAGGTCTCAGTATAGTTACAATAGCTGCCTCACCCTTCAAACCGGAACGCATTACTCATACTATTATTATTCATGCTACTTTTTGTTCTCATCATTCTGGTAAAATGGAATGATGCCAATAAGAACTCACTAGTGTAAGCTCTTATTGGCATCATTCCTTGTGTCAAAAAATATATATTTTGTCATCATATTTTGATATGTCAAAAAATAGCAATTTGGGCTACTAATCGATTGATTGATACTTAATTTAGTACACGTGCCCCATAATTACAGTTGCTTTATAATTTAGAATGAATGAAGCATGTGGTAACATTTTATAATGATAGAAGAGTGGCTTGTGTCACTGTGGTCCATGCACCACTGGCCGCTCGACAGATCATAGATAATACACATAATATTTAAGACAACAGGCCACTTGAAGCGTCGCGCGCCATACTGTCTCGTGAGCACACGATCGTACGGCGCCCCACTCCCGCTCTAGTTGTTACAGTCTAGAGTCTAGGCCAGTGGTCGGCAAACTTATTAGCCAGAGAGCCAAATATGCAAAATAAACGATTTAAAAAATTGAGAGCCAAATCTATTCGTAAATGTAGTAGACATTTATCATTATTTTAGAGATTCATTAAATTATGTTGAAATGTTAATACAAAATTTACAGCTATTTTTAAATAAGCTCATATAAAAATCAATTTTCTACAATAAACATATTGTTTGTGTTAACATTTCATTTATAATAATGCATAAAAAATTATTTAATATTAAAAAGATATATTTTTCTTGAAATAATACATCTTTTTGTAGTAAATTATTATTGCAAATCATAAAATAAGTACTATATTGTATGTGTACTGCTGATATTAAATGACCGTACATACTATTAACCGGCTTTTTCGTCCACAGCCGGATAATATTAGAGTAGGATATTTGTGCCAGAGCCACACTCGAGAGTTCAAAGAGCCGCACTTTGCCGACCTCTAGTCTAGGCAGATTATATCACAGTGAATTTAAATATCTATCTACATAATATTTTCATATTTTACATTATATTTACAATTTTTAAATCGCATCTTTTAATTGTACTTAATTACATTGTGTCTTACTTAAACTTAAATAATTATTAACTATATGGTACCCAACTCTGTACGACCACCACTACCTGCATTACTATGCACAAATTACTGTATGTTTTGTTGACATGGCATTATTCATGGCCGTCTCATTGCCTTCGAACTCGAAGTGCAATTACAAAGCGACTTATTTATATAAGTATTTTCAAAACAAACTGTGTTTGGAGAGATTGCCTTCGGTGTTTCTATAATAATTATGAGGCTATTATTGGGTATTAATTTTTTTGGATGTTTCACGAAAAATTTGATGGTCTCATCATCTATACAGGGTGCCCCGCAATCTGTATATCAAACGGAAAAGACAGACAGACAAAATATGTTCCCAAGTAAAAAGCTATGGAGTGAAGAGCACGTGAACATGACGAACGAACTATTCTGCAACACGGACTACATTTTACGTAAGATACCGTGATATGATTCGTATTAAAAAAATAGGCTGGCCACTTAATAAAAGATGCAATTTTTATTGTTATTACTTACGACGGATATACGAACCCGCAGCCCGCCTGGTGTTACCTCACCCATAGATATCAACTATTTAGGTAAATGCGGTGATTCATCTTTCTCAGTTTTACAGTACAACGGCTGCCCCACCGTTCAATCCGAAACGCATTACTATTACATGGAATATATGGGCAGGTTGGTGCTCCGATGCCTCCCTGGGACCTGGCGGAAGAAGCGTTCACCACCGATGATGTGTGGCGATGCAACCTCCGCCACGGGGGAACCACTTCCCGGCGATAGAGCGATTAGAGCGCAAGGCTTCTGACTCCGAGTGGACATCGGACGTCGAGTGATATCTTTGTGAAAGAGTACAAGGGGCGTCGTTTGGTGGGTAGGGCCCTAAAACCTTGCGCCCGCGGTCTGCTCCACATACCCTGCGCGCCCCCCAGGCTCGGACACCTCGTACGTTACCTACCCGTGCGGACTCACAGGATGCTCTAGAACCAGTCTGCACCAGCAGGAAGTAAACGTATTAATACTGGTCGTACGAATTGATATATTGTGATATAGCTTACATTAAGTCCTCTTTGGCAGAGGAACAAAAATATTTATCTTCTAGGTCGAGGTTACGTAAGTGATAACTTGAATCTCAAAAAATTATGTCCGTAAAACAAATTTAGCGCACAAAAGAAAAAAAATACCAATTTTGGATTGGGTTCAAGTCGGACGAAAAGGGAACAAACGCGATGGTAGGTCCGGGCTAACTGTGTTTCGAATCTCTAAAAGTTCACATGTCAGTTGATTGAGATCCAAACATATTTAAACACTGCGGGCGCCGCTCCGACTGTGTGGGCACATTAAACAGCTTCTTTTGTCTTTACAATAAAGGTTAAATTTAGTAACATTCGCCGTAATAAGTTGCGTAATAAGCCGTAATAAGTTGTAAAATTGGTTTTGAGTTTTTGAGCCAATGTACCTGTTAACAGGTATATTAATATAATTAAAATTTGTGTCGTTTTCATTGTTTGAAATAAGTTGAACTAATTTGTAATTGTCTATATCTATCTGAAATATTAAACGGAATAAACGGCCTAGCGGTAGTTTTGTTGTAATTCAGAGCTGTCAACGAGCAGTTGAAATAATATAATAAAGTACTTCTTTTGTGAAACTAATTTGAACTAATTCGACTTTGAATTTTTATACATTTTTAACGTGGTTTACATTGTTGATACTATTGCGACCTTTCAGCTTGATATACCCATTGTGGAACATTATCAATGTTTGTATGTTTGTTTTTGGCCGACGCACTCCTCTGCAGGCCATTCCTCCGATCGTGATGAAGTCCTGTATAGTTGTCGCTAGCACCCGGGGAAGGTTTCTGAGCCAGCGCTACTCTTGGCCGAAGGGGCCGCACACCACTACTACTATTCGGTTAGTAAAAATGGTGGCTATTTAAATAAATGGTTTGTCGAACTGAATCATAACATATTATTGTATTTTATGCCTTTAATTATATGTGTTTTTGTATACTTGTGTGTATATGAGTGGCTATAGACGATGAGCACTCGAAACCCTCACAGTGCTTTTAGCACCGGTCGAGTTCGTGCGGTAACGACCCGCGTCTACGTCTCTAATCATTCTTGTTTCTGTGGCTGTTTTTGTCGAGCGGCGAGCACCCGCCCCCCTAGGTATCCGAGCGCAGAACCAGCCAGCGCAGCGAGGGCTCCCGCCTTGATCCCCACCACGACCCCCACCGGTCCTCCCACCAGGGCTCCCGCTATCGCTCCGCTGGCGCCCAACGCGCCTGCCTTTATTCTGTTTGAGTATAAGCAAGCGTTATCTACAAGTACTGTTTGTTGGATGTGAGGGACACAATGGGTAGGTGTGGGTACCTCTCGGCCGCGGAGAGGTGTTGACGCGCGGCCCGCACTTCGCCCGTCGCCGCCTCCACGTGCGCCGCCGCCGCCGACACCTGCAATGGGGGGCGCCGGGGACCCTTACATTACCTAACACTGGTAGTTTTCCAATTACAGAGCATAATGCGACTCAGTGGCGCACAATGCTGAATTATGCTGAAGCTTAATTGGAACGTCAATTAGTTTTCAAATGCATCAGCAGAGTGCGCTAAGTTCAGTGTTGAAAAAAAAAAATTCATGGAGTTAGCAACCTCATTGTTTATTGAAAATATATATGATGATGAAACAGATGAGTTATTTGAGCCATTAATAGAACATCTGATGACAGGCAGTAGTTTTGAGAGTGCTCGATCGTGCGAAGCGTTGCTGTAGTTGGAACATTCGACGTTGAGCACTAGAGTGCATTGCCGCATAATGCAATGCACTCTAGTGCTGTAATTGGAAAACTACCACAATGTTCTGTCCGGACGACCGGGCGTCGTTCCTTCGGATCGATTTGCTTGGTAGTTTTCCAATTACAGAGCATAATGCGACTCAGTGACGCACAATGCCGAAATATGCTGAAGCTTAATTGGAACGTGAATTAGTTTTCAAATGCATCAGCAGAGTGCGCTAAGTTAGCACAGTTTTAAATAACATTGATTATTTCTAAGAAACTACGACGAAACAAAAGCCTTACAATTTTTTTCAACATTAAATAATATTACTAACGATAATATAAACAAAATTTCGATCAATGCCAACTTAAAGAAAAAACACTTGTAAATTTTCTGTCACTGAGTCGGCATCGATTGCGAGTATCACGCGAGAACAGTACTTTTGAGAGTGCTCGATTGTGCGAAGCGTTGCTGTGGTTGGAACATTCAACGTTGAGCATTATGCCGCATAATGCGCTCTTGTGCTGTAATTGGTAAACTCCCTTTGTGTCCCCGAGTGCGTGTTTTTTTTTCTTAGTATGGTGGACGTTCTTACGACCCACCTGGTGTTAAGTGGTTACTGGAGCCCATAGACATCTAAAACGTAAATACGCCACCCACCTTGAGATATCAGTTCTAAGGTCTCAAGTATAGTTACAACGGCTGCCCCACCCTTCAAACCGAAACGCATTACTGCTTCACGGCAGAAATAGGCAGGGTGGTATCTAACCGCGCGGACTCACAAGAGGTCCTACCAGCAGTGAATAGTATAGCGGGTGTGACCCCCCCCCCCTCACCTGGTGTCGGTGGTGCAGCGCGGCGGCCTGCACGTGCTGCCAGGCCTCGTGCAGCGCGCGCACCTCGCCCTGCAGCTCGCACCAGCCGCGCAGCGCCGCCTCGCGCTCCCGCAACGAGCTCTCCTGCACAACCACGCGCACTCACACACTACACTCCCGGACACGCTCCCCGGTCATCGTAAGTAAATTAACCCTCAAACACAGCCCACTGAGTTTCTCGCCGGATCTTCTCAGTGGGTCGCGATTCCGATCCGGTGGTAGATTCTGCAAAGTACGGCTCTTACTAGGGCCAGTGTTAGCAACGTCATCAGGTTTGAGCCCCGTGAGCTCACCTACTAGTTAAGGCGACGCTGATATAGCCTCTCAAGGCTATCAGCTTAGTTAGGAAAAAAAAAATACACCCTCCAGAATCCAGACTAACCCAAAAAATAATCCAAATCCAGACTACTACTCTTGCCCTTCACCAAGGCGCTTAGTTGACTTATACCATCTTATACGCTATCACATTTTTTTTTTCATAATTAAGAATTCGAAATAAAAAAAAAAACATACCTAAGCAAGTTGAGCAATAAATCAACACCAAAACTGCATAAAAACTTATTGCTCCACCTAACATTTATTTTTAGCTAGAGACCGTCACAAACTTAAACCACTAGGTGGTCTGATAGATGTGTCCGGGAGTTTATATTACACTGAGTGTCTTGAGAAAATGGCTCTGCATCATGGTGCTTACGTGACCGCGTCACAAGCCTCAATACATAGCAACACTCGGCTCGAGTGGGCACGAGACAATCGTAACTGCAACCGTAACGATGAACCTGGACTGACCTGGTCGTTGACCTGCAACTGTATGGAGGAGAGCTCCAACTCGCGCACCTCGTCGTGGTGGGACAGCACGCCCACCGACTCCGAGGACACGGCGCTGCCCGCCGCCACCTCCACCGCCGGGCGCCGGTTCGCCGATAACGGAGACGTATCTGAACCCACGTTACCAAACATTACGGTTACATTTTCATAGGCGTCAATTAGCGGAGCTGATGATCCACCAAGTGAGGAGATTGCCGAAGCCATCGGGCGGCAGTCGCACTGTGCCCTTAGGGACGTGACTTACGAGTTATCTTAGGGTAATCTTTCCATTGGCTGGTCTGATAACTCCATTGCAGAAACAAGCCAGACGCGGACATACATATGTATGTGCATGTGTACATGGTGCCGAGTCGTGCAGGCTCCCACCACACACACTATAATAATATAGCTCTGTGTAGCTAAAACTAAAACACCATACATGAGAACAAAATGAAACTCTTCACCGAAATATTAATGAAAAATCTGTTTAGTTATTACGACAATTAAAGTAGACCTCAATATCATAATTAATTTCTTTCGCTTCGCTTCAGGTGACCCGTTCGTTGCTTCGCTTCGAATATAACTGCCTTTATATTGAATGCTCCTACCTATTGCAGTAACCTCGAGGGGTTACACTAGATTCACCGAGCCGGCCTTTATGTCACGTATTCCACGCCTTTTATAGTCGTGTCGGCTATGTCTACAATTTTCCAGAACATTCTTGATAGAACTAGATAGTTCGAATATGACCTAGGCTCGTCTTACCTTTGTCAAAATCATTCTCGAGGCTAGTCGGCGTATTCGGCTTAAGCAATAAAAGTATTGTATTGTTACCGGTCCTTAATAAGTCTCTAAATAAAGTTAAAAAGACGCTCTGGAAATTGAAAGGTTCCGATACCTACTTATAGTTACCATAGTTATTAAGAAAGAATTAAGGAATGGTTATTTTTTGGTTTTCATTTTATGTTTATAGATTATTGCGTAATATAACGTTCTTTCAGACTGCAAATCTTTTGCACACTTTTCAACTATATTGATGTACAAATTTTAATTTTGACTAGTTTTTGACGGCCAGAAGAGCATACAGCCCACTCGAGAATGAGTGGTTACCATCGCTAATAGAGATGAGCAGTGCAGTCAGTAGCAAGTGTCGCTTGTACTGCCCGGTAGCGTGGGGTGGCGCGGCATGGCGCGGCATGCTGCCCACTGTCCGGTGTATCTCTCAGCTGCCGTTTACGACAACCACGGAACAGATGGGGTGGGATTGTTCTGTTTCATTCTGCCTCCGCACGGCGCCTTTCATTTGTTGACGAGTGTATGTACAATTCTTCTAAGCATTGCGAGGTGCTTTCCACATCGATTTCTTTATTTCAATAATTTGTGAATAGTTTATAATCTACTAGCTGACCCGGCAAACATTCTTATGCCATATATAAGATTTCTAGGGAATTTCTAGTGTAGAAAAAAAAACTAACTTATTGTAAGTGTGTAAGGATGTGGTAAATGAGTGAAAGAGGTATGTAGTGCTGTGAACGATGAGGGAATATATAATAAAAATAACAAAACCTCATTCAACCACATAATACTTCATTATAACAAAAAAAAAATGTCCCAATAAAAAAATATATGTTATGGATCGATGGAGACAGTTGGTTGACGAAATCGGACGGAGTCACGATCCTCAGCAGTGAGGAACCGATCGAAGAGAGAGAGAGAGAGAGGGGTGGACAACCCTAATCACTTAGGGGTATGAAAAATAGATAGTAGCCGATTCTCAGGCTTACTGAATATGCATAAAAAATTTCATGAGAATCGGTCAATCAGTTTCGGAGGAGTATGGGAACGAACATTGTGACACGAGAATTTTATATATTAGAAGATATATATAAAAAAAATGAATTGCTGTTCGTTAGTCTCGCTAAAACTCGAGAACGGCTGGACCGATTTGGCTAATTTTGTTCTTGAATTATTTGTGGAAGTCCAGAGAAGGTTTAAAAGGTAGATAAATATGAAAATGCTCGGAATTAAATAAAAATAACAATTTTGCTTTTCCTTTGATGTGTCCCCCGTCGGACGGATTCCTTTTGTTTGTTTTAAGTTTATTTTATACAAAAGCTTAGGTCTTTTATTTATCGATTGAGGCACTACGAAGTCTGCCGGGTCAGCTAGTTACTAAATAAATAATACTATTCATTTATAATAAATTGATTAGACATTAAAAAGCTTAACTCTCATGCAAAGTGTAAGTTGCCGCGCGTCTCATGCACTGACAAAATACTGCGAGACTCAGTGGACTAATGGTAAGAGCTCTCCTACCTTCACTACCTTCAGACAGGAAATATTAACGTTTAAAATGTTTATTTTCATATACCATCTGTAGAATGCCGATACCCTTCTGAGGTGATGTAGTACAAAAGGCATTTCAGGACAATCATCATTATTAGTTTTCTAATTTAGTTAACACACCGCGGGCCCGCGCAGGGTTGCTTGCTTCACCATTTTGTGCTTTATTTGACATCCCCTTACGTCTTTAATCAATGCTCAAAAAATGTTTACCATGTTTTTTTTTTATTATTGCTTAGATGGTTAGACGCGCTCACAGCCCACCTGGTGTTAAGTGGTTACTGGAGCCCATAGACATCTACAATGTAAATGCGCCACCCACCTTGAGATTAACTTCTAAGGTCTCAGTATAGTTACAACGGCTACCCCACCCTTCAAATCGAAACGCGTTACTGCTTCACGGCATAAATAGGCGGGGTGGTGGTACCTACCTGTGCGGACTCACAAGAGGTCCTACCACCAGTGATTACGCAAATTATAATTTTGCGAGTTTGATTTTTATTACACGATGTTATTCCTTCACCGTGGAAGTCAATCGTGAACATTTGTTTAAGTACGTATTTCATTAGAAAAATTGGTACCCGCCTGCGGGATTCGAACACCGGTGCATCGCTACATACGAATGCACCGGACGTCTTATCCTTTAGGCCACGACGACTTCAACATACCATGTCATGCATATCAGTTTTTATTTTAATTTTAATTTAAATGCGAGAACAGAATATTAACTATTAAAACCATTGCAAGAATTAGTCTCCGTTATGAAATACTAAAGATCTAAACTATGCCAACTACCTAGACTAATGTTTTAGTTATTTTTATCAGAAATATTCAAAGAAACTTCAAAACAAATAATGAGCGAACTGCAATTTATGTGTTTTAGTGAATGCAGTATTTCATCAGTTACGTAAACACGGCTAGTCTTCAACCAAACTGAAACAGTAACGAACGCATCGACCAGACCCAACATGTACTCTTTTATATTAATTAAATTTCACAGAGCGTTGAGATATCCGTAGAACTTGGAAATACGTTCACCGTTTAACTTAAACACAGGTACTCTATGCGCAGTGTTATGTAGCAAGTTATCATACAGACGGCATATTATTTCTAAGCATGTTTGACAAAAACAGTACCATTCAAGTTTAATTAGTAAAATGAATGAAATGTAGCACAGTGTTACTTCAAGTTCCAACGAGAATGCATTTCTTAGTTATTCTCACCGATCGGTCGAGAGCTCGCCCTGCGCGACACTAGCGCCCTACAACTGCTTTCAATAATACCTAAAATTTTGTTGGAGCCAAGTAAATTATACAAGAATGTTACGTTTGGGGGAGCAGGAGAGTGCGGGGCTGGGCGCTCACCCAGGTAGTCCATGATCGCTTTGAGCGTGTTGTCCCGAGAGCTCCGGGTGAGCGCGTCGAAGCGCGGCAGGTCGTCGACCCGCACGCGTCGCCGCAGCGCCTCCAGCTCGCCGAGCAGCGCGCGCAGCTGCGACGCCACCCGCCGCGCGTGCGTCTGCTCGCTGCGGACTCGCGCGTACTCGCCGCCCTCTTCATACTGTTCACAAACTAGACACAGTTCAGCTCTCCTTGTCAACAAACCGTTACCATTTGTCCGTGATTGTGATTAAAAACACGTGACTAACTCTTCAATTAGTCATACGTAACAAACAAGTGTAAACTATTCAAAACTTGGAACAATAGATTTAAGACTAGATTAACAATAGATTGGGAATGCACTTAGATATATATATATATATATATAATCATTTTTTCCCCTCCCTAATTGCTGGCAGCATAAGCTACATAAAAAAGGTAGATGCTGCTGAGAGTACCTTAACACCCTAATCAACATTGTCTACATCTCATTTACTTATAGTCCACTAACCAACCAACCATGTATTGTTGAAATCAAGATAAGGAAGAGCAGCAAGAGGCAAAAGATTTTAGGTAAATTTGGAATAATTATTACTTTTCATTTTATAATTATTTCAGAATATAGAAATTACATAAATTGTTAGTAGCAATCTTATTTTTTAAAATTTTGTAAATCTAGCCTATGGTTGGAATTAAAAAATACTGCAAGCTTAAAACAAATCTTACTTACTTATGTTTCTAATTGTAAATTGAACTGAACATAAAAATAGAGACTGAATGCTTTCTATTTTATTATCCACAAGAATGCCTTGTGAATACTTATGACTGGGTTTGCCATATAAAGCTATTTACAAATTCTAGAGTTATATCAGTTTTGGGCATTACACAAAAAAGATTAATAGTTTTTATAAAAAAATTACGTTTGATTTTTCTATACATTCTTCTATTCCACAGATGTTTAAACTATTTTTAGCTCACAGAGAGCTCAACATCACAACTACAAAATACTGCGCATAAAATGGAAACGATTATGAAACAACTTTCCACTTCGTTATGCTTTAAATTCATAAACATAAACTATACCCACAATTAATACAAATTTACGCACTTTGATAATATTAGCCTTGTGCTGCCGTAGTAAATCCAGATGATGTGGAATTGCAACTTCATTGAACTTCGTTAATGAAAATTCTACTCTTTTTAAAGGCAGCTTGTCTTCTTCTTCCATTCTTTATTACAATTTTCTCAGGATAAGAATTTATAGAGATCTTTAAAATATAGAAGATGAAATTTCAATTTGCTCAAACAAAAATAAACATTATTTATCTATCTATCTCTTAGGTTTATGGCGTTTCCTTTTAGATTTTTGTTTTCATTGTTTTCATCTCAACTTTAATCCCATTGTCAAAATAATGTCAAATGTCAAAATATTTCATCTGTACCCTTTTTTCATTTTTAACAGGAAAAGCGAAGGAATCATACCATAAAACCGGATCTTTTATATTTTATGTTAATTGAAAAATAACGTAGTTTAGAAGTCGTCATGGCCTAAAGGATAAGACGTTTGGTGCATTCGTGTTGAGCGATGCACGGGGTGTTCGAAACCCAGGCGGGTACCAATTTTTCTAATGAAATACGTACTCAACAAATGTTCACGATTGACTTCCATGGTGAAGGAATAACATCGTGTAATAAACCAAAATCAACCCGCAAACCCGCAAATTTTAATTTGCGTAATTACTGGTGGTAGGACCTCTAATAAGTTTACGCGGGTAGCTACCACCACCCTGCCTATTTCTGTCGCAGTAATGCGTTTCGATTTGAAGGGTGGGGCAGCCGTTGTAACTACACTGAGATCTTAGAACTCATACCTCGAGGTGGGTGGCGGGATTTACGTTGTAGATGTCTGAGCTCCGGTAACCACTTAACATTAGATGGACCGTGAGCTCGTCCATCCATCTAATCAATAAAAAAAAAGTGAAAATAATAGGGATTCAATAAGATGACGTTGATTTATTAGAGACTGTAATCAATTGGAATGAAATTAAATGAAATGAGACTCAATTCATTTAATTGCTGAGACTTTATCCCATCCCGTTTCAATGGGATGAAATAAAGTCTCAGTAAAATGATGGTTATTTGCAAAGACTAGTTTGCACGTAGACAAGAAACCACCACGTCCAGTGACTATTTCATTTTCCCACATTTATGCAGTTTCACCGATTCTAAACAATTAATAAGCCACCGCTATTACAAATTGAAGCCTAAAGAGACACTAAATTAAATTAACAAAATTAAAAAATTCACACTACTTCGCTCCTGGACTCGCGTTCCCGCTTATAAGTCTCAACACTTTTCAATTCTCAGATGATTGTTGATTCATTTGTCAAATTAAACAAGCAAACCACTGAAGTATGAAACCTAAAGCAAACATAATGTCTATACCCCGCTATGAAGGAATGAATGAATCACCCTTTGGGGATAACGATATTTTATTAAGAAAGTTCTTCCATTGCCCGTTACACGGACGGATCGACTACCTATTGTTTGTTGGACGGTTCTGTATGAAGGAATGATGCTTCTCGCGCGTGGTACATTGGTTTATTGTTAATAATCTGTTATTAAATAGGTAACAAAAAAACAAAATTTATAAAATTTACCACACCTAATGTTAGACAAGTAGACACTAATATTACTGTAAGTGGAGAGACACTGGAGCTTGTGGATTCGACAGTTTTTCTTGGTATAAAAGTTGATTCCAAGCGGCAGTGGGGTCTTCATATATGCAAGTTAGCGAGTAGACTTAATTCTGCAGCGTTTGCGTAAAAAAAATACGAACGTATACTAATGAAAATACGGCACGTCTGGTTTATTTCAGTTATTTTCATAGTGTTATGTCCTATGGCATTTTGCTATGGGGCAATGCTGCCGATGTCGAAACGATTTTCATCCTGCAGAAGAGGGCTATTCGTGCTATTTATAATATGCACCCGAGGGAATCCTTGAGGGACAAGTTTAAGGATATCAAAATTCTAACTTTAGCGTCCCAATACATTTTTGAAAATTTATTATACGTGCGTAAAAACATTGAAGAATTCCCCAGAGTCTGCGATTTGCATAATGTGAACACTAGGAACAAACATAGGCTTGCGTTGCCGGCGGCTCGAATTAAGAAAATAAGCAACTCTTTTAGGGGGCTGGGTGTACAACTTTTCAACAAGATCCCACAAAACGTTCAATTACTACCTGTTCATAGATTTAAGAAAACTGTCAAGGAACGTTTGTGCAACAAGGCATATTATAAAGTTAAGGATTATCTACTAGACGGCACTACGTGGGAATGAGGCGTTCGCTCCTGGCCTCTTCATTTTTCATTATTATTATTATTATTATTATTTTGTAATTGTATTTTTTGACTTGTTTTTATGTTTATAGTAAATATTGTTACTTATTTAAAAAAAAAGAAAATATTTGAGAAAAAACCAAAAAAAAGCCCGCTGAGTTTGTTTCGCCGGTTCTTCTCAGAACTGTGGCTTTTTTTGGAACCGGAGGTAGAGTTAACATTGTTATTTATATTTTGACATTCAACAAGTGTGTTATACTGACATCTAAGTTGAAATAAATGATTTTGAATTTGAATTTGACTTTTTGGAAAAATCTGAGAAGCCAGGTCTACAGATGTTAAAAACTTAAAAGCCACCATTATTCCACGTTTAAACTTGAAGAAACAATAAATCAACAAATAAAACACTTTACAGAGCTTCACACCACGCGATCCTGCTGAAAAGTACCTCGTCTCATTTAATTCCATTCTATTTCGTTTCAATCCATTTCATTTTCGCAAGATTTACATGAGTTTGGTTTTTTATTACCAAAGATTTGATGTATTGGCCACGTTCCCTTTGTCCAATTTAACAATTCAGACAAAAAAATGAAATTGTGACAAAATATAAAAACTGTAATTTGTTTGAAGAATTTGAAACCATTTGTAATTTGAGTATAATAATTAAATGGTGTTTTTAATACAGAATTTATCGAAAAATATTACTCAGAGTGAATTGTATATTTGATTAAAGTGTATATCGAAATGGATGTCGATACAGGTTTAAACTTTTTTGTAGTATTTTAATCTAACCTCACTGTTTCAAAAGGTCCTAGAAATTACTTACTTAAACTCTCTTCACATATTCCTGTTCTAAAGAAAACATAAAAAGCTACGGATAACAGCTACAATAATTGAAAGATATCACTCGCAGATACCATTATAAACGAATAAAATCACAGGAACCACCTTTAGAGGTGGTTCAGGGAAAATAGATTGGGTGTGATTTATTTAACAAATTATAATAAGTTTTTCTAGACTAAGAAGACTAAATGGTTGTCATATTATTAGATAGTGATTTAGATTAGTAATAGAATTATTGATTATCTATTTTGCAGTTATCTGTACATTTCTAGGAGATCTTCTGTTTGTCCAAAACTCAAAAGTTAAAATATTATGTTAACACGATGTATGTAGGTATGCTATGCTTTCAAAATTATATTTAAAAAGTCAATGTCATTAGGATTTGTAGAACCCAGCTTACACTTTCTTAGCTCTCATATTCATGACAATTGGGTACTGGACAACACCTTTGTTAAATAAACTAGACAGATTGGATACATATACTTGATGCATTGAATGATTGGATACATATACTTGATGCATTGAATTGAAACATTATAGGCTTCTAAAGGGTAGGTAGAGTTGTAAAAATCATACTTAACATTAGTAATTTTTGCAATATTTTTTATTCAACCTGTGATTTGCCACAAAATCTTGAAAACTATTTTTACTTTTTATTGTTGAGGTCATGTTAGAAATGGATTTTCTTTTCTGAAAAAAAATGATGGATTTCTCAAGTTTCTGAAACCCATCTTCAGTTATTTGTGAGACCATCGTTGAAACCATCAGTTCTAGGATTATCATTATTTTATACTGATGGTAGAACATGTTGTGAGTCTGCATGGGTAACACAATCACCCAGCTTTTTTCTGTCGTGAAGCATCTGTAAAGTAATGTTACAGTTTGAAGGGTGGGGCAGCTGTTGTAATGTAATAATTGAGATCTTAGAACTCATGTCTCAAGGTGGGTGGCTGCATTTATGTTGTAGATGTGTAAGGCCTTCGGTAACCACTTATCGCAAGGGGGGAGGGCATGAGCTTACAAAAAAATGGATTAAAGCTGGATGAATAACTTATTTGATTCATGCAGCTATTTAGTTTAAAAGAACTGTCCAAGGGTGTGGACATTAAAAAACAATATATTTTTTAATCTTGTTCATTGGGGTAGTGTGATATAATATGTCACTGTTTTTATTTTGTGCAAGAACCTTATGACTATATACCCTAAGCTTCCAACCAGGAATAGTTGAAATAAAGCTTCATAAATAAGTAATCTTTTACAGATGGCAGGAAGTCTCGATCCCGTAGTAGATCTGTAAGTAATATTTATGTTATGTTATGTAATTTAAGTTATGTTCTATTAGGCAAAGAAATAAGAATATAACAATACACAAAAAAAAACGATAGACACAACTTTTGAGCTCGACTACCCATCTAAGCAATAAAAAAACAAAAAAAACTTTACAAGACACAAATTTTCTTACAGTAAAGCACAAATACAGTGAAATCTATATATATAAAAATGAATTGCTGTTCGTTAGTCTCACTAAAACTCGAGAACAGCTAGACCGATTTGGCTAATTTTGGTTATGAATTATTTGTGGAAGTCCAGAGAAGGTTCAAAAGGTACATAAATATAAAAAATGCTCAGAATTAAATAAAAATAACAATTTTGTTTTCCCTTTCATGTGTCCCCCGTTGGACGGATTCCTTTTGTGTTTATTTTATATAAAAGTTTAGGTCTTTTATTTATCGATTGAGGCACTACGAAGTCTGCCGGGTAGCTAGTAATATATAAAGGTGTAGTTTTAACATAAAAATCATTAAAAAAAAAACATTTGAACACATAAGAACAATGTAAACAATATAATAAATACAAGTAAACTAACACAAGAGGTACATTATAAAATTGAAAATTTAATAAAGCTTGGAACTGTTTTGAGGGAACAAAATATTTATCTCATTAATGTTCTTTCAGGTGGATTCAGAAATGTCTCATGATGGTTCCACACACTCAAGAAAAAAATCCAGATCAAAATCTCGTTCTCGGTCCCGCAGCATATCACATTCTCCCTCCAAGTCCAGATCTAGAAGTGGGTCACATACGTCTTCACGCTCAAAGTCTGGCTCGCCTGCTCGTTCTAGAAGCAGTAGCCCTGCAAAGTCTAGATCCCGAAGTGGGTCACCGGCTAAATCAAGATCTCGTAGTGGATCACCTGCAAAATCTAGATCCCGAAGTAGTTCCCGTGCGAAAAGTCGTACTCGGAGCGAATCGCGGGCCGAGGCTCGTTCTAGAAGCGGCTCATTGAAGTCTCGCAGCAGATCACGAAGCGGTTCGAGATCTAAGTTCAATAACGCTTCCCAAAGAACATCTCGCAGCGTCACTCCAAAAGTAGACAAGAGAGACAACAGAAGCAAATCAGACTCCCCTGCCAACTTAGAGATTGATGAAGATGCAACCAGCGCGAGGAGATCGCGCAGTGGCTCTAAAGAAAGGAGATCAAGATCCAAATCTGCTGGTAAGATCCGCATCTTGTTTTATCGTATCTTATTTAATAAAACCTCAGTAGACTCAGAGTTTTAAAATAAATTGTAAATCCTGGATTAAAGGTTTGTAATTTATTAATAAATAGTAAGGGATTGTGAACCACACAGTCTAGGTATAATGTACCGCTGCGTCGCGCAGGGTCCCGCGCCGGCCGCTACCGGTCTGCTGAAGCTGGTGAGTTCATTTACACCATAACACATACATACATCACCGGATGCTGGAACACAGTTTGTGTTTAACTTTGCACCACACGTTGTTTCCCATTTATCCAGGGTTAGTTTATAAACACCTAATCGACTATAAGAGTGGTTTCTTTTCATTCCATATAAAAGCATATTCTATCATTTAAAATGTTATTAAATGTATTTTATATTTCAGAGGGGCAAAGAAAAAGTAGGTCACATTCGAGGTCCCAGCCACGAAAATCACGATCTCGTTCGCATTCCAAATCGCGCTCTCGCTCTAAATCCCGCTCCAAATCGCGTTCTCGCTCCAAATCCCATTCTCGCTCTAAATCCCGCTCCAAATCGCGCTCTCGCTCTAAATCCCGCTCCAAATCCCATTCTCGCTCTAAATCCCGCTCCAAATCCCGTTCTCGCTCCAAATCCCGTTCTCGCTCTAAATCCCGCTCCAAATCCCGTTCTCGCTCTAAATCCCGCTCCAAATCCCGTTCTCGCTCTAAATCCCGCTCCAAATCCCATTCTCGCTCTAAATCCCGCTCCAAATCCCGTTCTCGCTCCAAATCCCGTTCTCGCTCTAAATCCCGCTCCAAATCCCGTTCTCGCTCTAAATCCCGCTCCAAATCCCGTTCTCGCTCTAAATCCCGATCCAAATCTCTCATTAAATCTCGTTCGAGATCGAAGTCTAGGTCTCGTTCCAAGTCTCGCTCCGTGTCTCGATCGCGCTCGAGGTCGCGCTCCGGCTCCAAGTCAGTGCGGTCAAGGTCTGTACTTCATAATATACATACATGTCATATTATAAAGTAAAATTGTAACAACTTGAAAAGTATTATAAATTTCATTTTAGGTCCCAATCAAGGTCCAGTTCTCGTTCCGGCTCCGGTTCGCCCTCGCGCAGGGGTAAGATATTTGATCATTTCCAATTTTTCCATCAGTCCCTTCATTACGATCAAGGGTCACGATTGGTAAATCGTTTTCTTCTCACAGTACAAACCTGCATCGAGTATTATTTTCCTTTGTTTATAAAACCATTTCGGACTCAGGCTAGCTCATTACTGAAAACCAATTGTTAATGAATAATAACCTTTAATTACCCAACATGTAAAATCTAAAGATTTTTGACCTTTATCCTCAAATGAAATCGTCATTTACTCTATTCAAATTGATATGTACTTTATCCTATATTTTTATTTACTGTGTGGACGAGTCAAATGTCAGTTTTGTTAGAAACTTTTTGGCGGGAACGCGAGGAGTGAAGTTGTGTGATCTGTTTTATTTTGTCTATTTAGTGTTTCTTCAGGTTTAAATGTGTAATAATGGTGGTTTATTAACTGTTTAATATCTGTGAAAGTGCACAAATGTGGGAAAATGAAACAAAGCCGCTGGACGTAACTTCTCGGGATCCTCCAAAAAGCCCACTGAAAAAATCTTAGTAAATGACCACCATTTTACTGTGATTATNTGAAGTTGTGTGATCTGTTTTATTTTGTCTATTTAGTGTTTCTTCAGGTTTAAATGTGTAATAATGGTGGTTTATTAACTGTTTAATATCTGTGAAAGTGCACAAATGTGGGAAAATGAAACAAAGCCGCTGGACGTAACTTCTCGGGATCCTCCAAAAAGCCCACTGAAAAAATCTTAGTAAATGACCACCATTTTACTGTGATTATATTTCATCCCATATCATCTCAATTCATTTCATTTAATTTCATCCCAGTTGATTAGTGTCTCAAATTAATCATCTTCATTTCATTTCACTCCATAATATAATTTTTCATAAAAATATGAATAATATAAATTAAAATAAGACATGACTTAAAGGTCTCAGTTACCAGGTCATAACATCTCTTAAAAAAAATCAGTTTGGTTAGAGACTTTTTGGCGGGAACGCGAGGAGTGAAGTTGTATGATTTGTTTTATTTTGTCTATTTAGTGTTTCTTCAGGTTTAAATGTGTAATGTCCAGTTGTCAAGTTCCTTCTGCAGAGAAAACGCTATTCGCGGTGATTTACTGATTCTTGTTAGTAAATGTTTAAAATGTAAGGAACGAAAGGACGTAGTGGCCCTCTCTGTTGAGAGAATTATTGAAATTTCCTGTGTCGAGCTTGAGCACCTCATTGTTGTCTGCGTTTACAGACCTCCTGATGCGTTATATGATTCCTTCGAAAATATTTTGGAAAATGTATTGCTAAAGCTTTCTGTCTCTAATAAACAAATTTTTATATGTGGTTAATTATTATAAACCTATTAATATTTTAGAAAACACAAATACCACTATTAGATTCAGAACTTTGTTAAAGTCATATAACCTCCCAAACTTATTTTTAGAGCCTACTAGGACAACAACCACATCGGCAACATGTTTAGATAACATTTTTACAAATGTAACACCGTTTAACAAAAAAAATATTAATCAGTTAACATCAGACCATAGTGGACAATTTGTGTCTTTTGAATTTAATATGAATTCTAAAGATAAAAATACTCTTGTGATTGTTCCTATTAATAAAAAACGAATTGAGAAGTTTAGAAATAATATTATGCAAGAACATACAGAAATTTTTTATAACTAAAACCCAAATTTGTCATACCAGAATATGTTTGAGAGAATTAATTTGGTCTTTACTGATGTATTTATTCCTAAAACTGTAACATTAAAAAACAAAACAGTGTTCAGCGAGTGGGCCACCACCGGATTGTACAAAAGTAGAAAAAAGTTATATGATCTGTACTCTGAAAAAGCTTATAATAATGATGAAACATTTCATCAATATGTCAGGAACTATTCAAAACTATTTAGAAAAGTTTGTTTAGCGGCAAAATCTTTACACTTAAGTGATTTAATAAAAAATGCCCCTGACAAGATAAAGATGACTTGGAACATCATTGGTAGAGAAAGTGGAAAAGTCAGAAATAGCCACCATGAATTCTCATTAAAGGTAGATGATAAATTGGTAACTAGTCATGAAAATGTGGCTAATGCTTTTGAAAAGTTTTTCTCTGACATTCCAGTTTCAACTACTACTTCTCTAAAGTCATCTCCCACAGCAGCTGAAATATTATTGCATAACAATGTTAACAAATGTAATGATTTTTTTAAATTTAAGAAAATTAATTCCAGCAATATTATAAAAAGTTTTAATAGCCTTAATGTAAAAAATACAGCTGACTTGTGGGGAATATCAGTAAAGGTTTTGAAGTCCCTAATAGACATTATTGCTCCTCATCTTGTTAGTATTTTTAATGACTGTATTAGGTGTGGTGTATTTCCTGACTTAATGAAACAGTAAAGTGATTCCTCTTTTTAAATCTGGTAGTACTGATGACCCCTCAAACTATAGACCTATTTCAGTACTCCCTACGTTGAGTAAAATCTTTGAAAAAATTATTTTGTCACAGCTTTAAGAACATTTCAATTCAAATAACCTGCTTCATAATAAACAATTCGGGTTTACCAGGGGTCGCTCTACAACTGATGCAGGTGCTTATCTAATCAAAAAAATATTTCAATCTTGGGAGGAGTCGCATGATTGTCTTGGAATTTTCTGTGACTTATCCTAAGCATTTGACTGTGTTGAACATGAAACATTGTTGAGGAAACTACATCACTATGGTATTAGGGATGGTGCATTGGAACTTATTACTTCCTATTTATCAGGAAGGATACAAACAGTTGATGTAAAAGGTAATAGATCTTCAGGCACCATGTTGAAAATGGGTGTACCTCAGGGTTCCATTCTGGGTCCTTTTTTATTTCTAATATATATAAACTGTTGTAAAATATGTTTTTGTATAAATTTATATTAGAAAACGATTGACATTGTGACAAATATTATGAGTTTTAATTTGTTGTCATGTTAAAATAACCAATTAATTTTCTATCCATCTTCCCCTAACCTTATTTACATAATGAGATAACCTCGTTTAACGCTATTTCGTATTAACCTCTACTTTGATGATGCGTATACCCCTTTTCACTATCTTCTTTGGGCACAGGTAAAAAACGGCGAGCTGTTCGACTCGATTCTGATGATGAAGGAGAGCCCAAGCGAGCCCGAGACGAGGGAGACGAGGCGCCCGAGGTGGAAGGGGAGGGGCGGGTGCTGGACACGGAAGCCGCGCAGCCCGACAGCTCCGACGATGACATCGCACCCGACTCTAAGAGGTATGCGGACGGGGAGAGACGCATCGGGGCGCGTCTCGATGCATGGCGACACTACAGTACACTACAGTACTGTACAAGTGCAGTGTAGTGCAGTGCAGTGCAGTACGGTACAGTACAGTAGAGTATAGTGCATTACAGTACAGTACCGTACAGTGCATTACAGTACAGTGTAGTGCAGCACAGTACAGTACCGTACAGTACAGTGCAGTGTAGTGCAGCACAGTGCAGTACAGTACAGTGCAGTGCAGCCCAGTGGCGTGTTGCAGTGCGGAGGCGGCGGGCGGGCTGTCCGACTTCGAGGTGATGTTGGCGCGCAAGCGGGACGAGCGGCGGGGCCGGCGGCGGCGCAGGGACATCGACATCATCAACGACAACGACGACCTCATCGCGCAGCTGCTGCAGTCCATGAGGCAGGCGGCCGACGAGGACAGGGAGCTCAATCGCAAGAACCAACCCGCCGTGAAGAAGGTCAACCTACAGATGATTTGCAATATTTATTAATTTACTGGTCGTAGGACCTCTTGTGAGTCCACGCGGGTAGGTACCACCGCCCTGCCTACTTCTACCGTGAAGCAGTAATGCATTTCGATTTGAAGGGTGGGGTAGCCGTTGTAACTATACTGAGACCTTAGAACTTATATCTCAAGGTGGGTGGCGCATTTACGTTGTAGATGTCCACGGGCTCCGGTAACCACTTAACACCAGGTGGGCCGCGAGCTCGTCCACATACGTATCTGAGGAAGGTACAGCAGGCACCGGAAGCTAACCCGTCGCCCCCGCAGGTGTCCATGCTGAAGACGGCCATGTCGCAGCTGATCAAGAAGGACCTGCAGCTGGCCTTCCTGGAGCACAACGCGCTCAACGTGCTGTGCGACTGGCTCGCGCCCATGCCCAACCGCGCGCTGCCCTGCCTGCTCATCCGCGAGACCGTGCTCAAGCTGCTCACCGACGTCAGTACCCGCACCCGCACCCAACAACTCCACGTAATAAAGCTCCGGATACAATAATAGCGATGTCATCATTTCAGTTTCCGCCCATAGACAAGTCGTTGCTGAAGCAGTCCGGCATCGGCAAGGCCGTGATGTACCTTTACAAGCACCCCAAGGAGACCAAGGCCAACAGAGAGCGAGCCGGCCGACTCATCTCCGAGTGGGCCAGGCCCATCTTCAACCTCTCCACAGATTTTAAAGGTATTGCGCATCCAGCGCCTCCACGTCACGCCGCGCTACGCTAGGAGTACGTCATGTACCAGAATATCTCGCTTTTTAACATTCAAGATTATACTTTAAAAAAATCTGTTAACATTGGTTGGATAAATAAAGCTGTAGAGACCGCCACCACCGGGGGCATGCTGCCAGGAGACGCGCCTCTCATCAAAACCTTGCAATTAAAGTTCTGTTGGCCGGGGTCAGTGCCCGAGGCCGCTGTACAACGGAATTCTGAATCTACGCAGCATTTAGAATAAAGTTTTTAAGAATGAATGAATGAATATTGTTGTAATGTGAAGTTGTGACACAGCCATGACGCGGGAAGAGCGACAGGCACGAGATGAAGCCATGGCGGGCGGGCGGCGGCGGGATGACCCCGGACCCTCCGCCAGCGCGCAAGACGAACCCAGGTATCGTGCTGCACTACCCTGTACTGTACACTGCTGCATTATACTGTACACTTCAGCACTACACTGTACACACCTGCATTATACTGTACACTATTGTACTACACTGTACTGTACACTTCTGCATTACACTGTACTGTACACTGCAGTATTACATTATACTGTACACACTTGCACAACACTGTACACGCCAGCACTACACTGTACACACTTGCACTACACTGTACTGTACACTACAGCACTACACTGTACACTACCGCACTACACTGTACACTGCTGCATTACTCTGTACTGTACACCGCAGTATTACATTGTACTGTACGCACCTGCACCACACTGTACATTGCTGCAATGCACTGACTTACACACTACTGCTCTACACTTTACTGCACAGTGCTGTACTACACTGCAAACTACAGCACTACACAGTACTGTACACTTCTGCATTACACTGTACTGTACACTGCTGTATTACAGTGTACTGTAAACACCTGCACCACACTGTGCACTACTGCACTGTACTGTACACTTCTACATTACACTGTACTGTACACTGCAGTATTACATTGTACTGTACCCACCTGCATCACACTGTACACTACCGCACTACACTGTACACTGCTGTATTACTTTGTACTGTACACCGTTACACTACACTGCTGCACTACACTGTACGGTACAGTGCTGCACTACACTGCACACTACAGTAGTAATGCGTACGGCGCGCACGTTGCAGGGCGCGGCGGCCGGGCGAGGCGGGCTGGGTGGCGCGCGCGCGGGTGCCGCAGCCCTCCACCAAGGACTACGTGTACCGACCCAAGTCCACCTGCGACCTGGACATGTCCCGGGTCAGTACAGTACTGCGCGTCCGCCTGTGTGTGACGCAACTACACTCCACTCCGCTACTCACATACTTACTTGCTCCGCTCCTTGCACAGACCACTAAGAAGAAGATGACCCGCTACGAGAAGCAAATGAAGAAGTTCGTGGATCAGAAGCGACTGAAGAGCGGCTCGCGGCGCGCGGTCGAGATCTCCATCGAGGGCCGCAAGATGGCGCTGTGAGCCGCCAGCCCCATTCATGTAATCGCTTGTGCTCTACTAGGTACACCGACTCTATATAGTTCATTATAGTAAATAGAAGTATGTCAAATGAACGTTGCAGTAAATAGACACTGCGGACGTGGCCCGGGGGAGGCCGAGTCGTACTTTACACTATGTTAAAATGTATTGTGACAGTTTATTTGATTTCAACAGGAAAAATACAATGCGTTGTATTAACACTATATATACATAGTTACTTATCGACCGAGTGCTTTACTGAAGTCGATTTTTAAGGAATAAATTATAAACAGAACATCTTAAAATATGTTGTGAAATTTTTGAATTCTGCCTCGAACGGGGCGGTCTTCTTAAACCAGTGATGACGCGTCACACGTTGGCGCCGTGGGAGGCGGTGACGCGCGCGTGTGACGTCACGCGCGTGGCGCCGCGCGCGCTCGGCCAGGGAACGGAGCGGCCGCTCGCCGGCGCTGCTAATATGTGATGTTACTTTTAAGTTAACAATAAATAAGTTATAAAAATTATATTATGTCTTTTATTTTGAAACAAGCATGTCTTAAGTTATTTGTGAGAGATATCTAATAGTGCATATAGGTGTATTTCATATACTGTTTACTGGTGGTTGGGAATATTGTGTGAGGCAGCAGGCTGCAGGTCAGCTGCAGCGTGAGCAGCTGACCTGCAGCCGTGCAGTCGTGCTGTTCCAACGATCCACCGATTGTCTTCACCCCAGAAACCTCAACAAGTGACTGTTATCGTTGGCTAATAAAGGTTTATGAAAGGAGTTCAGGCTAATATATAAATTTTTTGTCGATCTGTCGCCAAATACGGTAACATAATTGAAAATAACCCGTTGAATACAGAACATGGACAAATTGGGTGTTTCAGGGGCAAAAAATTCTCAACTGCCTTGATTGGGTCAGGACAGGTGATAGGGTTTGGCCGTGTTTTTTTCTATTTGAATGATAGTCTTTTTTTTTTTCTTTAAAGAGATTATTCACCTAGTAGTGAATATGTCACTCCATTGTGCAACAGAAGATAGTAACACAAAATTATATAAAAAAAATAAAGGAAACTGTTATCGTCTCTGAAGGCCCACCAACACTATTTTATAAAGTGACTGCCATTTCGGATTCCAGAAAGGCTAATACGCAATTTACCCCTCCCAACTTATCGAAAATCTGTATATTTTGCAAAGAATTGTTTTATCAGATCATCATTCCGCGCACACTCTATCATAATGTGAAAAGCATCTTCCACTACATCACAAACCAAACCTTTTGAATCAGGAGCCTTCCCCATTAAATGAGCAAATTTATTGAGTGGGATGTGCCCGGAACGAAGTCTGAAAACAGTCACTAGGGTAGTTCTTTTAAGGTTACAAGAATCAAACCATGGCGTTTTCCATGGTAGACTTTGAATTGTTTTGCACCACACCACTTTTTCCTTTCATCGAAATATACCTTCCATAGACGATAACATTCCTCGCTTACTAAGTTGACACAAACGGTATAATTAGGAACTATGTTCAATGGTACACCATCACTAGAAGCTTCCTTAGCTAACTTATCCACCCTTTCATTACCACACAAACCGATGTGAGAAGGTATCCATTGCAATATCACTTCTTTACCATTCGTTTTTAAGTTATATATCTGCTCAATAATTGTATAAGCAACTGGATTGCCCCTAACACCATAAACGCATCGGCTTAAGTGTTGCAGCGAACTACGAGAATCATTAAGTATTACAAACTTGTCAGAGTCTACTGAGCGTAGCATATGAAGATTCTAAAATGGCCACTAGTTCTATGATCATAATTGACACTCGTACATCTGAGATAATATTGAACATCATACAATTTCCGGTTTGTGGGTCAAAAATAGCAAACTCCCATGTTTGGATTATTTTCTATTGATCCAATTATTCAATTCATATCTGTATACAAATAGTAGTAGGAGTGTTAAGTGGTTACTGGAGCCCATAGACATCTCGGACGTAAATGCGCCACCCACCTTGAGATATAAGTTCTAAGGTCACAAGTATAGTTACAACGGCTGCTCCACCCTTCAAACCGAAACGCATTTCTGCTTCACGGCAGAACTAGACAGAGTGGTGGTATCTACCCGTGCGGACTCATAAGAGGTCCTACCACCAGTAATTACGCAAATTATAATNTGGTTACTGGAGCCCATAGACATCTCGGACGTAAATGCGCCACCCACCTTGAGATATAAGTTCTAAGGTCACAAGTATAGTTACAACGGCTGCTCCACCCTTCAAACCGAAACGCATTTCTGCTTCACGGCAGAACTAGACAGAGTGGTGGTATCTACCCGTGCGGACTCATAAGAGGTCCTACCACCAGTAATTACGCAAATTATAATTTTGCAGGTTGGTTATTACACGATGTTAATCCTTCACCGTGGAAGTCAACATTTGTTGAGTACGTATTTCATTAGAATAATTGGTACTCGCCTGAGATTCGAACACCGGTGCATCGCTCAAAACGAATGCACCGAACGTCTTATCCCTTAGGCCACGACGACTTCACGACTTCCGAAAGGGCAGGTTCCCGGAAGTTTTTTTTTTTTTATTGCCCTTGTAGGCAGACGAGCATACGGCCCACCTGATGGTGAGTGGTTACCGTTGCCCATGGACTTCAGCAATGCCAGGGGCAGAGCCAAGCCGCTGCCTACCGCAACAGACAAGGTAAGACAGGTCGATTAGTCCTCATCCCTAAGGAGGGGTGCCCCAGAGGCCAACCTTCGGGATATCGCCCGACTGTTGTGCTGAAGGAGGCCGGCAAGCTTCTCGAGCGCGTCGTCGCCGGTCGCCTCGTACGGCATCTCAAGAATGTTTGTGCAGATCTGGCCGATTGTCAGTACGGGTTCCGTCAGTCGCTCTACCTTGTACGACATCTCCGACCAGGCGTGCTCCCGAGGAGGGGTGTTGTTGGCGGTGTCTATAGACATCTCCAACGCTTTCAATACGATCCCCTGGAGCACGATCCTGGAGTCGTTAAGGTTTCACCGCGTCCCCACCGAGACCTGATAATGGATTACCTTGCAGGGCGGGCTGTGGTCTTCCCCAAACAGAGGGAGTGGGACAAAGAAGTCTCGTGTGGTGTCCCGCAGGGGTCGGGTTCTGGGTCTGCTCCTGTGGGACGTCGGGTTTGATTGGGTCCTCCGTGGGGTTATAACTTTCATGGCGTGCAAGTCGTCTGCTAAGCACACACACACGACACAATGACGGCCCGCGGAGACAATTATCGTTCGGCGTCGGTTCTGGCTGCGGCCGTGTGTTTCCACCCGATTCTATCATCGACCATCATCGTCGGAGAGACTGCGATCGCTGTCCGATCCCATCTAACGTGGTTTGGTTTAGGTTAGGTTAGGTTTGGTTAGATTTTTTTTTTTAAACTAGTCTATCCTCCAACGTCATCGGAGACCTTATGTATCTCGTTCATTCTAGTTCTATCGTTTGTTTTATCGCATTCACAACCCATACGTCGCATCCATTCCTTTCTTTCATACTTTCACCGGTGGGATTCCGGCCTATGTATTCTACTCTAACTTTTTTTATTACTTTTATGTAGGCTTCAATAAATTTTGCTTCTTATCTTTATTATATACCCCATTAACAACTATTTATATAACAACAAGTTATATAAATAGTTATAGTAGTTATATAAATACTATAACAACAAGTTAGACGGATGGGCAGTGGCATCGAAGAGCATCAAGACTTAATATTCTGCTTTAAAGGAGAAACACCTGGCATGCGTAAAGTAGGATTCTCGATTAAAAAAAAAAATTACATAAAGAAAAAAAGAAAAAAGAATTGTAAGCTTCTTAGGCTTATCTAAAAGAGTTGCAATACCTCAACTGGAGTTCAACAAAATGATAATATCAATCAATAATTGAAGTGTATGTACCGACTGAAAAGGATTCTAAAGAAAAATCTATAAAATTTTACGAATCACTACAAGAAGCGCAAGCGCAGACTAGTGAAAATGTACTGTTAATGGGAAACTTCAATGCCAAGATAGGATGAAAATAATGGATGAAAAGAGCTAAGAACAAAGAAAATTGGATTAAGCTGGAGGAGGCCTATACCCAAATAGTGGTCGAAGAAAAATCGAAGAAAAAGTTTGATGTAGGCAAATCAAATAAACAACAATAAAAAAAAAACTGAAAATAGATCAAAATGTAAAAATCATATATTTAAGAATATTTACAGGTCATATTTAGGTGATGGGAAATAAAAGGCTTTAAAAAAAAAAANAAGAACAAAGAAAATTGGATTAAGCTGGAGGAGGCCTATACCCAAATAGTGGTCGAAGAAAAATCGAAGAAAAAGTTTGATGTAGGCAAATCAAATAAACAACAATAAAAAAAAAACTGAAAATAGATCAAAATGTAAAAATCATATATTTAAGAATATTTACAGGTCATATTTAGGTGATGGGAAATAAAAGGCTTTAAAAAAAAAAAACTATTTCTCTGTGCATATTTACTGTTTACATTACTTTCTTTAAACGTTACTTAATTACTCAATGTTTTGTTTATCTGTGTAACTGTATTCTATAGTGACAATACTAATCTAAGTTATCAATAATGCTTTATCATATAATATTCGCCCTTTACATTTCTTATTGTTAACGTTTTTTATTTTACTTCATTTTTAGTTTATAAGGTTTGGCGCTTCAATATCCCAACCCCTGATGACAAAAACTATCCCTGAAACATGTCGGGATATTTATAAATGTCTGGCACATTAAATAAAGGCGACCGAAATTAATACTTTTTATTCGGATCAAAAAACAAACTAAAACGTCCTCACGCACGGAGAGCTATGCGCCGACCAAATATATTAAGTGTATAATCTATGGCGCCGACTGAAGCCATTCAGTAACTAAATGCGATTACACCTTCCTAAATGCGTTTCTAATTAGGCTTCTAAATGATTTAGTCAGTCAGAAACCATCCTTGCTACTGAATTCAGTAGACTAACTTACTTAATGCTATTACACTTGATTGAATTCAGTAGCGACTGAATTCAGTCGACTAAATTCAGCCAAGTGTAATAAGCCTTTTATGTTTCAATATAATCAGTCATAGAGAAATACTTATAGATAAATTCGATTTAGATTTTAAATAATATCTTGTTAGTGACATTTCTTGGGCGATACTTATTATTATCGGTGGTGGTGATGAATCGAAAATATGAAAGAGCATATGTGAAAATATGAAACTCCTATTTTTACTTTTATTGTATTTTTACTTTTCTTGGTTTGTTACAACGGTTAATAAAGTTGGCAATAATTAGGCATTTTTTTCAACTAAAGTAAGGCAGGATCTATAGCTTAGAGATGGTCACACTGCAACACAGTAAACGACTATCCTACCATCAGTACCATCATTTAAAATCATTTTTAATCAAATCTAATTTGAAAGTATTTTTTTTATTTTTTGTCGGTGATAACGCAACTTTTAGGTAAGTAAGTATTAAACCGTAGTTTTTACACGATATTAATGGGTCTTAACTTTCGTCTCTTTTGTTCGTATTTGACACTTCGAAGTTCCATGACTCAGTCGCGATGACGGTCTTAGGTTATTTATAATCTTACTCTATGTGACGGTCTAACGGCCGTTCTCAACAACCTATCTGAGATGTAGACATAGTGTTGGAGTTTGAATATAAATGTAATGGCAGGCAACACTTGACTCATGATTACAGATTCCGAATATTAGAATTATTTTAAATGTTTAAAAAACAGATGATTGTCTTCTCGTAAGAAAAAGACAATGACTTCATCTAGACACGGTCAAAGAAACATGTAAGAGTTTTATAAAAATATAAAGATAATAATTTTATAATGGTGTAACAGTGTTCAAACTATCTGCAATATAATTTTATAATGAAGCAGTGTGTTTTTAAATAGCCCCTCCCTCATCAACCTACAGAACCCAATCCCCTCAAAATTGACCGTCTAACATATGGCTATCTAGCTATCTCCGATTATCATCAGTAATGCCGGCCACTGACATGCGCGCAAATATTCGTACATTGTACGAATGTTTGCGCGCATGTGAAGGGCCGTCAAATATTCATTCGCAAACCTAGCGGCTGTGCAAATGTGTTCGCATACTCAATTTGCGAACCCGTTTGCGCTTCCTCTTACACTTGTTTACGAATGTCTCACGAATTTCTCCTCCTTTTTAATTCGTCAATAGAACATTGAAGAGAAAAAGAGTTTTTAATTCTTTCCCAGACATCATTAACAGCCATGCTGTTTTTATGGGATTACTTTTGATGAAGATACGCTACACAGTAGACGTCACGAATTATGAAAATGGCGTATAGTATACGTCCGTTACCTTCGCAATCTCGAATATATTAAGTGTATAATCTATGTTCGCAATCGTCGGCGCAACTGGGCAAGCGAATGTGTGGGAGACTACGCGAAGGTTCGAGGTTCGCGCGTTTTGATGTCTGTTAAAAAACCGAAACAGCTTGGAAAACCACGAATGCAGCGAAAACTTTGCATAATCATTCGCAAATGTCGTCCTACACTTGCGGGTTTGCGTATTCGTGCGCATGTGAGTGACCGGTGTAAGAGCGTATCAGCTATATCCTTAGTTTGCGTTTCACAATTACGGATAAGTGCTATCTCTCTTTAACCAACAGTAGATAGCTTCTTCCCTCTCATCTATCTGAGCCTCTTGATACGTTTCGTTCTACAACAAATACGAAACAACATCAGGTTCAAGATTTATTTTATTTTATTCTAAATTATAACAATAATGTAACCAGCATATCGTAGGCCATCATAAATACATTTGTTTATAACAAAAATTAATAAAAACATATGTAGATTTTTTTAAATTGGACGTATTGTTATTTTTATCCTAGTCGAAATTATAAAACGAAACGTTTTGACTGTCCGTTTGCCAATGAGCAGTGATCAATTTTTTTTGTTTGTTTTTTATTGTTTACCTACTAGACTAGATGATGAATTGCCTCCAAAACGCTTTAAAAACTTTCATTTATAATTCTAAGTGTGTGTATAATTAAAGAGCTACAGTGACATAAAATGAATTCTGTAAGTATCTATGAACTACATTGATAATAATTTATTTTACTTTGAGTTCAAGTTTGGAAAAGATATTTTTTCCAGTCAAGAAAGGCAGCACCCACGTCAAAAGATGAGACGATGATTCCAGTAGAACTTGTGGCGGCGAATAAAATTATCAATATTATGGCAACAAATGCCACAAACAATTAATTGAAGGAATAGGCTCGGTAAACCCTTGTAAATGATTTTAATTCGTCGATAGCAAGTTTCCCACGAACTCTATCGCAACTTCGACTAAAATGGGAAAACTTAAAGAAGCTCGCAAACGCTGCGCCAACTTATGAAACAACCTTAAAGGTAAGTGAAATTAGTTGATATTTTATCTCTAATAACAGAGTCGACTATTATCAAAGCCGGCAATCTGACTTTTGGAAAATTATTGTTAAATCAGAAAAACGAATTATTGACTTTGTATTCCATTGGCAGTCACAAAACTCTTCGGAACAACATCTTAGATAAATAACAGTTTAACTATTAACCTTTATTTAATGCAGGTTTTGAACCGTATTCTTTGAAGGAGACGATTATATTCAAATCAATCTGTATTGACATATCAATAACATTTTTTTGTCCAAATGCACAGATTGCCACCTTTGATAATAGACGACTCAATACATTGATTTAAACATGATTTTTTCTTGAGGATTCCGTAGTATTTGATATAATTATGCTCTTTGTTACAGACTGAGGTGGTAAGGACTGCAGATTAAATCTTGGATAAAGCAATGCACATTGTTAGGTATAGGTCACTTATAATATTTTTAACACTTTTACAGCCAAACGGAAACACATGAAGAAAGAAGAAAAATGCAAGGCTACAGAATGCATTAGCAGAATACTTAATAGCAAAAACAGAGACCTAACTTGGAAAATGTTGAAAACGAGATTGTTGTCGCAAAACTTAAGTTAGATAATTAGGTAATAATTTTATGTTCGATAGTTTTTTAAGTATGTGTACAAATTCTAAATTAAATATCTTGCATGTACTAACTACTGTGTAATTATCATTTTGGAAAATAAAAAATTGTCAAATTATCTTTGGAGTTTATTTTATAAATTATCTTTGGAAGAAATTATTTATAAGTAGTTGTACTTCAGATGTAAGTTCGGGAAAATTGTTATGAACCAACACAATTATATTATTTTCCTGTAACGTATCTGTGACTGAAATTTCTGATTTTAATTCTTCTAAACTCATACTCCTGACGATATTATGCAGCATGGCAGTAGCTATAACAACACCTTGCATATTTTCTAGTTTTAATCTACTTATCAATGATAATACGGGAATCTTCGTTTACAAACACCAATGCATCTGTGAAAATTATACATTATTCACGTATAGGATTTTACAATACAGTATAACAAACTCTTAACTAAAAAAAAACATTACCTGTCTAAAATATTTCTTGTTTTAATATGTGATCCATTTTAAAATCGTTCCGATTGAGTATGTGGGTTAATTAATCTTATTAAAAGATAGGGTTGTGGGGATAGCCTCTATCAGCAAGCAACCAGCAATTTCCAAGTCCACCTTGTTATCGATGTTCTCTTGATATGTAGATCATTTATTAAAGTAGTGTCATTAACACAATCATAAATNCTGTCTAAAATATTTCTTGTTTTAATATGTGATCCATTTTAAAATCGTTCCGATTGAGTATGTGGGTTAATTAATCTTATTAAAAGATAGGGTTGTGGGGATAGCCTCTATCAGCAAGCAACCAGCAATTTCCAAGTCCACCTTGTTATCGATGTTCTCTTGATATGTAGATCATTTATTAAAGTAGTGTCATTAACACAATCATAAATTGATATAAACACCTAAATAAAAATGGTTAATTATAGTTGCATCATGAGTAGACCCAGGCCACCAAGCAACAACATTTTGAAACATCAATGATGCATTGCACACATCTTGAACATTCATGGAAAATACTCCGTCTCTATTTCTAAACTCTCCTATACTCTGTAACACAAATGTAACATTTAGAGGCATCAGTGTGTATCTAATAAGAATGAAGGTAAATAACCTACCAGATTATTTTAGCTCTCAAGCTCATTTTAGTTTTGTGAATACTTTGTCCATAATTATCATTATCAAGCATTGCATCAAGCAACATCAATTATCATTAACATTGGTAAAGGAATACTACTTATCTGCTTAGTGCTGTTTGTTTGCATCATTATCATTTATTATTTTGATACTGTAGATTTATTAATTGTGTGTAAGTACATCAGTATGTATTGTATGTAAGTATGTATATTGTTATATATTATATGTAAACAGTACTATATATATGTTTATTATATGTATATATTTTCTATAATTATGTATTGTCTATGGTACACCGCAACATACCTACCTGCTATATTTTTATATTTTACAAAATTTCTGTAAATTAAACGGTTGTCTGGAAGAGATCGCTTTTAGCGATAAGACCGCCTATTGTACAAATGTATGTGCTTTTTGACTGTTTTTTGAATGTAAATTGTGTTGGTGTACAGTAAAGTGTATTCTCTAACAAGCTCAACATTCAAATCTAAGATTTCATACGATTGAATTTCTGTTGCTGTTCGTAAATGTTCCTCTGTGTTGATTAAATCCATGAATGATGGTTTTATAAATACAGTTTCCACCTGAACTCCAATATCGTTATAAGATTTTTCAGAAGGTACCTACTTCAACAACATTATCACTAGTAAAAAAATCTTCACCATTTTTATAAAAGGCAAAATGTTACCTATCTAAACTTTTGACACTACAATCCAAACTTATGTTTTTCAGCTGCTTCTTTCTTCGAACTCCGATTTACTCGACGCTGATATCGTGCCTCCTTCGATCAACAATTGTTGATCGAAGCGTGCCTCTTTTTTTTTCAGCTTGAATAGATACTTTACTACGATTCGGCAAATTGCATGATGGAACACATGTTTTTTTTAACTTCATCTTTTTTGTTATGATATCTGCAGAGATAAAAAAATTATAAATTTACATTCCTTTGTAAGTTTAAGGTTAAACCATTATAAAATTAACTGGTAAAATAAAATCACTTCTCTTAAAATGTAATGAGCACACTCTCATATGAGGATTTGTATCTTTCAAATTGATAGGCTTAAAGCACGTTGGCGGGCTTTAAGCAATCAATTTTTTCTTTTGTTCCAAAATAACTTTCTATATAAACAAAACTACTACCCGGCCTAGGTAAGGCATGGAAACTAATTTCTAAATTTTCATGGGATTTACTTACTACCTACCGCAGTCGTTTACAGCCCAAAAACTCTACTTTTATTTTATTAGTTTTTCAATTAATTTTTATGAATTATTTCATATAGGTATGTTTACTGAAGTGCACACTAAAACTAGTATTTTTTTTGGCCACCAGACGTCGTGATCGAAATGGTCAGTTCCCAATTATATTGAACAGTCTTAGTGTTGTTCGCAACATTTGAACGACTCGGTTGGGTACTTATAGTCTATGCTACTTATCTGCCTTAGAATGATTTAGTACTTAAGTATCTACGTATGTTGTACCTAATATATAATCTTGTTCTAGAAGCTGCCCCTGATGTGTTCCGAAGCAGAGAAAGCTCAGTTGTTTGAAGCTATCGACAACAATAATGTAGAAAAAGCTGACGTACTTCTATCTTCAACTGTGGACGTTAACGTACGGAGTCTCGAAGTGAAGAATCGTACTGCGCTGCACCTGGCAGCCCACGCGGGGCGCTACGACCTAGTCGCTCTGCTAGTCGACAAACACAAAGCAGACGTCAACATCGAAGACAGCGAAGGCGACATCCCCTTGCAGCTAGCCACAGATCGCCATCACATGAAGATAGTCAAGTTCCTCCTAAGCAGAAACTCCAAAGGGCGTGAGTACGCGGCGCATTTCCTAAACACTGACGAAGTAGAGGAATTCTTCCAAGCGGCCAAAGCGAATGACATCCAGAGAGTGACGGAGCTACTCGACAGTGGTGTGGATGTCAATTCGGTAGATTTGTCTGATCTACACCGATCCGCGTTGCATGTTGCAGCTCGGGAAGGTCATTATGATCTAGTGCAACTTCTCCTGGAGCGTGGTGCTGATATGCAATACGAAGACGACACTGATGAGTGCGCCTACCACATAGCCCTTAATAACGACCACGACAATATAGGCAGTTTGCTCTTAAAAACAGGGTATATTCCCGACCCGCGCGACGACTCCAGTGTAAGCAGTGACACTAATGAAAGTGTAAGCTTAAGCTTTCTTTTTAACTAAATACTTTTCATTAAGAAATTTAATATTTTGATAGTTATTTCTTACCTAGATTTTGTTAAGTTTAATGTGTCTTGTAATTTGGTGCTAAATCTATTAAGAATTTATTGTGCTAAGAGCTCAGCGCTATTAGCGCTAGTGAATAAGTTAGTATAAGCTAGTTATAGTATAGGTACTGCAATAGCTTTTGGTTTACATCAAATAGCATAAGTTTAATAGTCATTTTTTTGTTTGTTGGGTAAGTTTTGTTTCCACAATGTGGGCTGCCATATGTGCTGGAAATGTTCCTAAAATTTTAGATTTAGAAACATTACAAAAGATTCACGATGAGATAAATAACAAAATCACTACAAAACTCAGAAAGCAAATTTCAGACAAGCTAGAACGAAATTTGATTTTAGTGCCATTTAATAAAAGTAAGGGAAATGCTATCAAAAATAGCATCCACATCAATGTGATAGTTTCTTTAATGAATACAGCTGTACAAACATGTGATATTGAATTTGATGACGTGCTCCTAAATAAAAGTTACGCTTTTCGATGCTTAGCTCTAACACCTGTAGAATTGACTAAAGATTTTTACCAATTGATTTTGGACTCTATCTCTGATATTATTGAACCAACGGCTAAGAGAATACTTAAAAAATATATCAAAACATCTAAAAATGCCAAACATACGTTTTCTCTTCTTAATACTATCATGATTTGTTTGATGAAAAGTGAGTTGGAACTCTCAATTTTTGAAAACTTTGAGCCGCACGAATGGCGAAAAGAAATGCTTACACACTCACTGTTTAGTGCTTGGGACGTCGATTTTAACACAAGAGAAAATCTAATAGACAAAATTAATAAACTAGAACTAAACAACTACAATACACAAAGTACATATCTCATAGAAGACATATTAGATATTGTGCTATCCAATATGAGAACTTGTGAAGTTGACGTTTATTTTTTTGATGATCTTCTTTGTCTGATAGAGCGCAATCCTGAAATTGGACAGATGCTATTTAATAACTTTCCGTTACTTCAAAGTATAATAGAAGAAATTAAAACGGATGAGCTCTCAGAGTATGTTAAGCTGTTCGATGATACTACTAATAATATTGATCTTAAATCCTTTTCTAAGTATCCTTGGAATGTACTGTACATTTTAATGAGTAAAACACCGAATGAACTGAATGACCTAAAACGATTACTAGAACTCAGTTTAATGGACATGAAAAAACAAATCGAACTTCTTCTAAAACTGAAGCCAAAAGAATCTTTCCTGAAATGGAAGTACGACATAGCATTTGAAATAGTAAAGCAAATAATTACGATTCAATTTCCATATTATAAAAAGTATCTACAGTTGCAGCGTAACGTTTCCAAGAATTTACCTCTGTTGTCGCAATTTACAGTAAGGTGTACGTGTAACAATTCAGATTGTTGGTTCCACTCCAGTTCGGAATGTTGTGACCTATTGTATAACTTGAACTGCTCAATAGCTAGAGTAATGTTCAATTGCAGGGAACTTTCAGATCGCATTATTAATTTAGTGGGCGCATTGATCTCAGAATTGATGTGCCCAGAAAAGATTATTCAACTCATCAAAGCACTTGATATTATTGAAGACTACGAAATTATGAACGAAGAAGAACTAGAAGCACTTTTTTCGCAATTAAGTTTTACGAATTTTGATCTTAAACTTCACGAATACGTTGTTCAGAAATATTTTCCAGGTTCTTATGAAAAAACAGTAGATCAACTGCTCGATGAGATAGAACAATTCCTTCCAGGAGTGACGGACGCTGTCGTCGATGTGTTTGATAAAGTGCAGTTTTGTTATAAACAATCATCTGCCCTTTTTCCCGAAGAAGGTCCAATAAATAGTTGGGATGAAAAACAAATCAGGAAGTGGGGTAAACTGGCTAGGTGTCAGGAAAATACGAATACAATTCCCGATGAAGAAATACTAGCAGTTATAAAAGCTGCAGTTAAAAGGACTGTAAAACTTCAACTTCGGCACATTCAACTCATTTCTGTGATTTTGATGGTAAAATCTGACAAAGGAAAAGGAATACTGAGTCAAATCAATACTGGAGAAGGTAAGACTCTCATTATTGCAGTATTAGCCGCTTATAATGTCTTGAAAGGTCATACTGTAGATGTTTACACAAGCTCGCCCTTATTAGCAGTCCCCCAATCAAAAGATTATGAAAACTTCTATACTGTTTTAAATATAACAATCACGCATAACATTGAATATAATTCCGACTATGACAAAGATGTGATTTATGGTACGAATAGATCATTTCAACGTGATGTACTTCTCGATGAGTTCAGAAAAACGGGAGTAAGAAAAAACCGTAAGTTTGATATTGCTATAGTCGATGAAGTAGACAACATGCTATTAGATGGCAACAGTTCGATCCTACAGATCGTCAGAGACATGCCTGCGATGGATTATTTAGAAGTTTTGCTTGCAGCTATTTATATACAAGTGAATGAAGCTGCTCGATCTTTGATTGAAAAGGACGGAAAAACATATTATTTGGTACAAGAGACTCCATTAAATGACGATGGGCATGTAAAACCTAACATATCTGTTGAAGAGGTGGAAATTAAAGAATCGAAAAGAAATTTTATAATGAAATGCACTGAAAGTCACTTACGAAAGCTGATTCGAGACGTTGAACACTGCAAACACATAGAAGAAGGCTACCCCGAAGTCAAAATACCAAATCATTTAAGAGAAATAATTTGCAAAGTGCAGTTGAAGAAATGGATATCAAATGCAATAAGTGCAATGTTTCAATATGTAAAAGGCGAAGATTATATTATAAGAAATAGCAAAATTGTAATTGTGGATGCAGATAACACAGGTGCATTACAGCTTAACTCTCAGTGGTCGGCTGGTTTACATCAGTTTCTTGAAATAAAACATGGAGCCAGAGTTCAACCGGAAAATTTCACAACTAACTTCATGTCAAACATTGGAATTTTTACTAGGTATGTTTCAAAACTGTATGGATTAACAGGGACTTTAGGAAGTTCAGAAACCAAGTCATTTTTACAAAATGTTTACAATGTGGACTCTGTAGTCATACCACCTTTCAAATTGAAACAACATAAAAACTTAAAACCCATTCTGATAAATAATAATGAAAACAGGTACGAAGAAATAGCTAGGAGCTGCATCAGAAAACTGAGTTATGGTCAAGCAGCATTGATCATCATGAAATATATACGAGAAACTGAAGAACTTAGTGATGTATTTCTTAAAAAATTCAATTACGACAGTTCGAAAGTAAAACTTGTAAAAACAGATGACGATTCTGAAATTTTAGAGAAACCTTTGAAATCAGGAGAAGTAATCATAACAACAAATATTGCTGGTAGAGGCACTGATGTCAAGCTAGGTAAAGACGTCGAAAAAAATGGAGGATTACATGTATGCCTTACATTTTTGCCGTTAAATTCCAGGGTGGAACAACAAAATATAGGCAGAACTTCCAGAAAAGGTAATAAAGGCACTAGTCAATTAGTCATCAATGATCCTCAAGGATTTGATGACATGAAGGCTATAAAGGCTTTGCGAGATAAAAAAGAAGCAAACATCATGTCCCGAGCTTTAGAAACAGTTAAAGAAATTAAAACCAAAGATCAAATTTTTCGTAGTTTCTGTAAACTTTTGGATAAAATTGTAGAATCCGATGATGACTTACAAGAAATAAACCATACTGCTGCTGAGGAACGCTTTGCAATTTGGTTGGTAATGAATACAGGACATAATGGCATCGAAAAAGATGTACATGAACAATTTGAGACATTCAAAAAAGAAATATTAAATGATTATCAAAACGACTGCTTAATAAAAAATCCTTGTATGCATATAAACCTTGGCAATAAATATCTTGCCAAGAAAGAATACGACAAAGCTATTCGAGAATATGATCGAGCTATTATTTTAGATCATAATTTTTCTGAATATGCATATTACAATCGCGCTCGCTCTTATTTAGCGAAATACGGAAGCGATATGGAAAAACATGAGCATTTTACCAATGAGGCAATCAGAGATCTAGAAAAAACCAGGAAACTTATAGATGAAAAAGAATATGCCTTGCATTTGTTACAAACTGCATCGAAAGGTGAAGTATTTTCACAACAAGTAAGCCACAAGTTAAATCTCTACAACCTTATAAAAAATACTATAGATCTTGCAATCGGTCCAGATGTAAAAGCACTCAACGATCAAACAAATCGAATTGAAGAAGAATTAAAAAATACTGACTTGGAACCAGATGTTAAAAGTAAATTGAAAGAAAGATTGAAAGAGCTAAATATATACAAAAAAGAAACTGGAACGATAGTAAGAGCAAAACTTAAAGGTATTAATGTATGTGTAGATTCCATCGGAAAAGATTTCATACCAAGCTCTGATTTGGAATCACATAAACAGGAGCTGCAAGAATTGAAAAGGAACGGTTGGTTGGAAGGATTTACGGTCACTGAAATTAAGCCCATTGATTGGTCTGCTGTGATAAGTTTACTCTGCATTGGATTGGGACAATTAGTTATTGGAGCTGCTTTGACCATATTTACACTCGGTGCCGGATCATCGATTGGTATGGGACTTATAAGTGAAGGAATCAGTGATATCATAACGTCCATAAAAGATGGCATCATTAATCGAAATTTTGATTGGGCGACATGGGCATTAATGAAAGTAATAAGTATAGCAGTATCTGTAGTGTGTGCTGGATTCAAAGCAATCAAAGATGTAGCAAAAACGGCTTACGCAGGAGCTAAAAATGTTGTCACAAGTGGTGTCAGATGTCTAACAGAAACTACAAAAGAAGGATGGAAGCTCGTAGCCAAAAAAGTTGGTCTTGATATGGCAAAAGGTGTATCTAAGGAAATATTAACCAACTTAGTTGCTTACGGCATCGATAAAAAGATTTTACCGATGATAGAAGAGATTATAATAGACAAAGTTAAAGAACCTATTCAAAAAGCTTTACTTAACAACTCTAAAGTAGCT